ACAAACTGTCCACCCGGGCTTTTGCGCTGCACAGAGACGCTTCGCTGCCTATGACTTTGAACATCAGTTGAGAGCGGTTGAGAGTCAGTCTCATGCAGACTGACCAATGAGGAGAGGGCCTCAAGTTAAGACCCTCTCCTCATTGGTGAGTGCACACGAGGTGGGTCAAAGTTTACCCTAAGCGGGATACGTGATGTCAGGCATTCAAGTATTGAGTATATTGACTGCATATTACAGTAAAATATTCTGTATATGACCATATTATGGTGATCCTTGGCTCGTGATGATGGGGCCCTTTGATATTGTTGCCCAGGGTACAACAAAGTGTTAATCTGGCCCTGTCTGGGCTCTAAGAAGATGAATTTTGACATATAATGAAATTGGATCTACGTATCTACGTGTTTCAAGCAAAGTTGACAATATGCACTGCTAACAGCAGAAAGGTTCTCTGTTTTTTCTGAATGCAAATTGCCAAAATGTCCAACTTGTTCTGAAATTGAGTGAAAACTAGAAAGCTTGAGATTAGCCCATTTGCATTAATTTTGAGCTTGCCAAGTAATTGTTCGACTTCTCTCCAAACTAAGGGAATTCACACTAATTATTTTGCAAACCGTGCCTTGTGTTGAACCCTAGACTGCCTCCATTCAGCTCCTCAGATCTTCCCACACTTTTTGTCTCTGTGGAGACAAATGGTGGAAACACGTACGTCTTCAGACACACACATAAACCTCCAATGTCTGTGTTGTTATGTGGATCTAGTAGTGGATTAAGATCCAATCTCTGATCTGTCGTAACATGACAAGACAGCAGGCTGGTTGAATCCTCTTCTTTTTGTGTGCCTGGGTTTTTATGCGTTTGCTCAAAGGATCTGTACATTTCCCACATTGTAACTTTGTGTGGATATTACCATGTGTGCTTTTTTAGTTATTTTGCATATTTATCCAAAGATGAAAATATTACAAATGTGTGATATTATTAAAAAGTAAAGGAAGTGATGTTAAGGGACTTCTAAAAAGACATAAACTGTGGTTAAAATCATTTTAAAAATATTTTTTTATTTTTTATTTTATTTACTTTTTGGCTATTTTCCTTTATTGTGTTTTCATAAAATATGAAGAGCTCAGTCTTCTTACGCCTTTTTGATCTTCCAGGCTACATGAAAAATGCTGAGAGTTCAAAACATAAAAGGAAAAGATCACAAGAGAAATGTGTTAAAAGCGTAGAAGTGGAACTAAGACTATTTGCTTCAGATGCATGTCTTCTCTGAAACATTGGAGTAACATGACTAACCTAGACAGCTAGTTTAAAGGTCAATTTAGATCTTTACTGTTGTTGAGAAATGGACACATTCTTCATTTATTTTTGTACATTAAAGAAAACATACAACATGACTGTGAAGAAAACTCAAGCTATACATTTCCGGCCTTGAGCATTTCCTGTGAACAGACTAGAGACAAACCAACCCTTTTCCTGACCATTTTTCATCTATATACACAAAACTGTTTAAGCACTACATTTTATTCACGATTTCTGCAAACTATTGACACATCAATCTATGTTGTGTTTTACAGTTTCATAATGCATACTTTATAGATTTGAAATGATTTGTATTCAAATTTGTGCATTCCTAGGTTAGAGTCTGGAATGTTATTATACTAACGTCATTTAGTCGGGTTTCTTTCAGTTGAGAGACTATTAGTGAAGGTATAGCCATACCATCCTGCTAAGGTGTTCAAATACGTTATTCATCTGTTTGTAACCAGCAGCCTTGACTTCTGAAACGCTTTCCTTTTTAGGGTAGAACGATGCTCCATCCCATGCCTTCAGCTTGTACAGAATACATAAAATAAACTGTAAGCTGGAAGTGACAGATCATTTGCGGCTGGCCCTAGAATAGTTTGCCTTTGGAAATCAGATCTGCTCAGACTTTGACGACTTTTAAATCATCACTTAAAACCTATTTAATTAGCTTCCTGTTTGACTGCAGTTGAAATTTTATTGGGTTGTGTTGTAACTTACTTTGCTTAATGGTTATTTAGCTAAGTTAGCTTTACCGCCTTGAGCCTCATGAACAATGTCTCCACTGTATTTTTTTAGGATGTGAAGCACTTTGGTCAGCCTTGCTGTGAAAATGTGTGTTTAAAGAAATTATATATATATATATATATATATATATATATATATATATATATATATATATATATATATATATATATATACTAGTACTGTAAACTTCTTACTAGTAATAACAAATTAGCTGAATAGCGCAGGATTTGTTGTCTTATTTCCTAATATTTAGATGTCTCTCCTCTGATTGGCTAACAGCAATAAGACTCTACCACTGGCTCTGTGCTCTGCACCGTTGATGTCAACACAAGCTTAGAGGAGTTCTGCCATGTGGCTGAGTTGCTAATGCTAACAGTTAGCTTCTACTAGTCAAGATGTTCTCTGCTGTTTCCTTGATGCTAAAACAACAAAAGCCTTCCCCGTTGTGAGTCAAGATGGCTGAGTTCATGAATGTTAAGTGACAGTGTGACATAGAACTGTCAGGCTTTTCAAATCCTAGAGTTTCACGGTCTATTTTCTGTCAGAAGCTAATGCAAGAGATAAGTGTAGGAGACTGTTTTTATGTTCAGCCTGCATTAAAAACACAGAGTGACAGATTATAATCAGAAGAGTGAATAGGGTGTGTATGGGGAGCACGAGTGGGTGTCTGGAGTGCATTTTTGTGAGTCTTAGGTTATATGTGTATGTGTGAGCATGAGGGAGGGAGTGTGTGACTGTGCTTGTGTATGACTGTATATGTCAGGTGGGGCCTTTGACACCTCCCCTCCCCTGGGACTTATTTTGCTGGTATTGACCCTTTGCACCGACGTCACCTAATCATGTGGGTCCGCCATGGTGGACGGCAAAAGCATGTAAACAGTGAGCGACACGAGTACTAAACAAAGCGAAAAGTAGAGCCTGAAATTGTTTTTGCGATCAAAACAAAAACAAACTCCAGCATTCCTTCAACTAGTTCATGCCCAATTCATTTATCAGAAGAAGTAGCACATCTAGCGGGGGCTCATAGAGAGCGGTATGTTAACTAGCTTACCAACGTTAGCTTAAATTCTATCTGCAGCTGATCACCGATGTAAACATGTTGCTAACTTTGCCTAAATTCACCCCTCTGGATTTATAACTTTATGTTGTAAACAGCGTTTCACTTTACACCAAAGCTGATTTTTAAGAAGTCCTGATCCCTACCAGCTTCTGTTGCTGGTGGTGTTGCCGGGATCAGCTGCTGCTCTCACACTGGAGTGAAAAGATCTCTGAACAGCGACGCTCATATAAATAAATAACGTAATTTTAACACACATAATCATAAATCGGAGCTTTAATATTGTTAATAATTGTCTTGCTTTACACTACAGTGGTCGGAGAGCAGCCTCCGTGGTAAAATGCCCATCCATCAGGATTATCAATAACTTGTATAAACACATCACATTTGTCCCTGTCCCTGTCTTCCTCGTGAAATAAATTAACGTTAATTTTACTCAGTAAAAACATGTTCGCTGCAAATCTGAGGCCTGCTAGTCCGCTTGATTGGTCGCTGCAGTTCATCTCCGTCCTCAGTCTCCATCAAAGTTATGAAAAAGAAAAAACGAGTTGAGTTTACGTCCTTGTCTCTTCGTGCAGCCGACCACGCAGCAAGCTAAAACCATTTTACTGTCAAATCAACTAAATAAAAGCAATAAAAGGCTACAAACTGGCTTGTTTCGACTACCTTCACTGGAGTTTCTACGGGTGTAAACGGTCTTTTTTGCCGTCTATCATGGCGAAGGGGGTGGTCACATGAGTGCGTGACGTCACGTGCAAAGGGTCAATACATCTGTGCCTCCCCTCCCCCTGCCACACTAGGTGTGGAGTGTGGTGCCTTGGTCTGCCTGAGTGTTCTTGTCTCCCGGTTCAGAGGGTTTAAGATTTTTGCCATCTGCCTGATTAATCCCGGTGGCTGCCTGGTGGGATCTGAGTCCCTGGGCTCAGTTGGGTCCCTGGCGGGGCTGGTCGCCCCTGGGTCTCGGGGCTCAGCCAGCTTGGGGGTGGGAGGCTGCAGGCGGGCCTGTGGGCTTGCCGCTGATATCCCCCGGGACTCTGCCGGCTGCTGGTTGTGGCCCCCCAGGGCAATCCTCTCCGCCTCTTGAGGGGGGCAGGGGCTTTTCTGGTCGCAGTCTCCCTGGGGTCCCTGTGCTCTGGGTTGTGGGTTGTGCTCAGCTTCTGGATCTCTGAGACTTGGAGCTCCTTCCGTCTCTTTGGGGGGCAGATCTGTGGCCCCTCACACTCTCTATTGGACGCTCCTATAGAGAAACCTTACATATAGAAGTGCATGTACACACACAGGTGCTCACATGGTGCTCTCATAAGTATGGACTTGGGCATTTTCAACACATGTCTTAAGGCTGCGGTTGGCACCAAATGCACTGGGATTTATTATCGTGTGATCGTTCAGTAAAACAATGTTGATTTTATATTTCCTCATCAGGTTGGCACAATGACAGTTTGCTCTAGTTCCTTTTTTTGGTTTGTTTTTCTCTTTCTGCAGGTCTAGAAGCAGACTCTTGTTCATCATTGATTGTTTATTTTTGTGGAACCCCCCCCCCACCCCCCACCGCCCCTTCCTTTTGTCTCTTCCTTTCTCTTTCACCTCTGTCTCCGTGTCTGGTCGCAACTACAAGCATTCAAAAAAACTAACAATAAAGTTTTAAGTATCAGGCGTGACATTAAAAGCAGACGCTTTGATGCTCCACCTGAGAGTAAATCTGTAAGGCTTGTCACCAGCATTCAGACATCAATTGTGTTTTCTTCACAGCCGGACAGGACATGGTAAAAAAAAAATTTGAAAAAAAAAGAAAAGAAAGAATCATTAAAAAAATGTTTTCAATCAAGTACCAAAAATTTATGCAGAGTATTTTTTACTTTGTGGTTTCTAACGATCTTTTCTCTCTGATGTACCTCAGGTGTTCAGTTGAGTTTCAAGACTTGGTCCCCAGATGGCCTCCTGCTTTGTGCCTTCTCCCCAGAAGATCAAGTGGAGTTTCTGGCTCTTCAGATAAAAAATGGACAGCCATACTTTCTATTTGATCCTCAGGTACTGTTACTTGACTTTCGAAGAAATTAATTTCAACAAATAGAGGTCAGTGTTCCATCAAGAGGCTGGAAACATTTTAATAAGTGTTTTATAAACTTATTACAGAAAAAAATGAAACTCGGTCTCCTTTCTATGAGACTAGTAAATGTTGTTGAACGCACAGATAAAACTGTGACTGAAGGCATTTTGTGGTTTTTGTTGGTTGTTTTTCTAATGCCTGTAAATATGAAGGGTAGCTGCTGAAAATGGTTACATTTTACTGAAATATTCATTTGTATCTAATTTAATAATTTCTCAATCTTTGGTGGTTTAGGTAACAAAAGTAAATTGTTTGTATTTTTGCCACGCACTATATTTAAGATGCCTCTGCATATTTGGCTCAACTGTTCATTTGGTTTGAACAACAGTGAACTAGAAAGAAACGCTCAGTTAAAGAAGTAGGACAAGGGTGTCAAACTCATATTCATTCTGGGCCAAAACGAAAACTAGGACAAATTTGCGGGCAAAACTTTAAGAGCAAATTGCATGTTAGAAACTCCCACAAACCAATGTTTAGAGAAACACAATAGAAACTCGTTTAAATTATTATAATTGTTTTTACACATTTATAAATTATTTAGGCTTTTGGAGTCATTTTTGTGAGAAAAAAAGTTTTTTTTTTGCCAAACCAAGTGACGTCAGCTGAGGGAACCCTGTTAGCTTAATCCAGAGAAAGTATGGATACTAATGCCGCTCTGACACAGAGGAAACTTCAAATGTTTATAATTGTACTTATGATTGACTAAAACCATAAAGTTATGAGTTTGCTGCTCGCCCCAGAGATCAGAGACAGACCAGAGGGAGAAACGATTGGCCAAAGCAGAGAGAATGAGGAGAAGCAGCGGGGAGCAGGTGAGTTAAATATGCTAGCTTAAACTCGTGTGCTAACATCACAATATTGTACAGATTACTATCATTTACCAGATAATTAAAATAGTATTAGTTAATTTAATATTAATACTAATGAGTGTCCCTCAGCTGTCTCATACTCATTAATATCCGTTAACCTAAAGTAGTTTAGCGCTTAGAGAGAGGGAAAGACGCCTGTTATCTGGTTCTGGAGCTCATGCGGGCTTGTATGGGCTGGATCCAATCCTGAAACCAGCTCGACTGGCCCGCTGAGCCGCACGTCTCTTCTGGTGGTTGGTTCTGACCTGGTTCTGACAGTGATCTGAACTCCAGAAATCCACATTTAATTTTTTTAAACCCCGCCACAGGTCTCTGGAGCCCATCACGGACCTCCCTGTCCCGGTACCAACCGATGTGGGCTACAGAAGTCCATCTTTTCAGCTGCACAAAACACCTTCAGGCACGGAGATAGAAGCGTTGTTTCTCTCATCTGGAAACCCGTGGACTCGATGTCCAGACAGGCTGGAGTTGGTACAGCCTTCACAAACTATAGTTTATCAAAATGAACACAACCCAACACTAGTAAACACACACTGACTGGATAACATGACCTCTCTACCCTAAAACTAGCCACTCTCCACACTGAGCTGAGGCAGCCGAGCTTCTAACTCCCGTTGGTTACGTCAGAGGTCCAGATTTAGAAAAAAAAAGCCTTTTTAGAAGCTCTGCTGAGAAAGGCCACTTTTCACTCTAAAAACTGTGCTGTTATGTATTTTAAAACGAAGTATCCACAATAAGCATTTCAAATAGTATTTTTGGACAGCATTTTATATGAAAATTAGAAAAAAAATTCACCTGCAATTTGCTCTTTAATATTCATTATTGTGCACATTTTCCTGTATCTCTAGGTACGTGTTTTTGAACTTTTTTTATATAGAAACACACTTTAGTTTTGCATTAAAAATGAAACTCGTTTAACCAAAGTTTAATATTATAAACACACAAGCAATTATCTTTCAAATGAAACAGCCATCAGATGTAACCTGTGCAGCAGCCACAGAGTCATATTTTGACTTCAGCATTCTGGGCTTCAAAGTCGGCAAATCGCAAGGTAAACTTTGAACTGAGTAAGCTGAGTTTTATTTAGCTTGTCTGTGACTGAACCTGTGGTCAAGTTTGCAGCTGTACTCTCCTGGAGACTGATATCATGGATCGTAATGACTGTCAAGAAGAAAGGTGGTGGAACTTGGCGGTCTCAACTGACACGCTAACGTAGCAAAGCATTGTGGGGTTTGTGGTATTAGCTGGCACTGGCAGGCCAGGTTTTCTATACATTTGAAATATGGTCTTGCCCCCCCCCCCCCAAAAAAAAAAACAAAAAAAAAAACACTGCAGGCCAGATTTGGCCCAAGGGCCTAAGTGTGACACCTGTGACATAAGAGCTGTATTCAGCTCTTTTGAGCCCATTACACCAGTTAGTTGGGGAAAAAAGTATGTATAAATAAGGTTTTTATCCTTCACACAATATCTTTACTTCATCTAATCCACCAGTCTCTCTTTTTTCTTTTTTCTGTCTCAACCTGTTTCTTCTATTTTCTCTCCCACTCACTCTCATCTAGTAAATGTGATCTGTAGACCCTCATTGGTTTCTGTCAGGGAGACGGAGAGGAGAAAACTTTGAAAGTGTGTCAACGTTTGAATTGGGCTGCAATTAACTCATTCCCTGCAGTCACCATGCATGAATACCAATTGCAAGCTAATTAAGCTTTGCACCCTTGCACTCACATGCATGCACACACTCACACACTTACACGTCCTTGCATACGTGCAGACCCCTATTTCCCTAATCTATCCATACAGATACATGTTGAGGGGTTAAGGAGTCAATGACTTTGATGATGAAAGCGACGATAGGAGATGATTTTGCAAACTTCTATAAGACTACCAACTAATTAAACACTCATATACTTAAGTAGTTTTGTTCCCTGTCAGGATCACTGTGCAGTACTGTGTCATCCAAACACCTCTGTCAGAGTGGAACAATGTAAAGTATCTGCATGTACAGGATGCCTTATGGATTGTGTCATGGTACCAATGTTGTTGTGTGTCTGGTTGTTCTCCCAGTCAGTCTGTGTACCTTCTCCAGCTGAGTTGATTCCTTCGTTTAGGTCAGTTTGTGGTAATTAATAGTGGGAGTGGTGTCACGGCTTATTAGTGTTCTACTTTAGCTGGGCCCATTACTTCCCCCTATTAGCCTGTTGAGCTAGGCTAATGAGATTATGAGAGGGTGCATGACGCAAGGAGGTGATAAACTAAAAATTATCTGCATGCATGTACTTGTACATACTTTGATGAAGTAAAAATCACCTACAAGTTGAGTTTTAGTATTATCAATGAGGTATTTGAGGCTATAATCAGAAGTTACCTATTATCTGTTTGAAACTTTTACAATAATAACCATGACAATACCCAAATGAATGAATGAGTGAGTAAACAAGGGGGTAGAAGAGGAGGAAGAAACATTTTTTATTTGGTGCCTCTCAAGATAAAAATCACAAGGAGCTTCACAAGAACAAAAACTAAAAGTAAAAAATATAATAGTTTATAATAGTGATAACAATGGGGAAAAGGAAAAATGTAGATAAACATGTGAAGGAAGACAGACTTGGTAGAAACAGCAGCATGAAGGGAAGGAAGTGAGGAAAAATCAAAAGGAGGTCACACAGAAGCCAGCCTGAACTGATAAGTTCTCAGCTGGTTTTTAAAGGAGACCAAAGGTGGGGTTAAAAACTATTAAAAACTACAACAAAGTGTGAATCAGGATAAATAAAAATAATAAATATAAAAAGGCTGAAATTTGTCAATAAATAGTTCTCGATCGGAAAAGGGTGGCTTTTCAACTCCGGGTCGGGGGAGAGGTCCTACCTCAAGTGGAGGAGTTTAAGTATCTTGGCGTCTTGTTCACGAGTGAGGGTAGGAGGGATCGGGAGATCGACAGGCGGATCGGTTCAGCGTCTGCAGTGATGCGGACGCTGAACCGATCTGTCGTGGTGAAGAGGGAGCTGAGCCAGAAAGCCAGGCTCTCGATTTACCGGTTGATCTACGTCCCAATCCTCACCTATGGTCATGAGCTTTGGGTAATGACCGAAAGAACGAGATTGCGGATACAAGCGGCCGAAATGAGTTTCCTCCGTAGGGTGGCCGGGCTCAGCCTTAGAGATAGGGTGAGGAGTTCGGACATTCTGGAGGGACTCGGAGTAGAAGCGCTGCTCCTCCGGATCGAAAGGAGTCAGTTGAGGTGGTTTGGACATCTGGTCAGGATGTCTCCTGGATGCCTTCCTGGGGAGGTGTTTCGGGCATGTCCTGCCGGCAGGAGGCCCCCGGGTCGACCCAGGACACGTTGGAGAGGTTACATCTCCAATCTGGTCCGGAAAGCCTTGGGGTCCTGCCGGAGGAACTAGTGGAGGTGACTGGGGAGAGGACGGTCTGGAGCTCCCTAGTTGGGATGCTGCCCTCGCGACCCGGACCCAGATAAGCGGAGGAAGACGGCAACAAAATAGTCCACCTGTGTCTTAATCCAGTCATTTACATCACTTTTTGCTGCTTTTTTAAATGCCCTGTGTTTGATAAAGTACCTTCTAGACTCCTAGAACCCCCAAGAGACTTTACAACGCAACTAGTCACTTACCCATTCGCACGCTGGTGTGTGGTATCACACACAGCTGCCCTGGGTCTCACTGACTGAAGCGAGGCTGCCGTACACAGGCACCATCAGTTCCTCCGACCACCACCCAACATTTTGCTTATTAATTCTTCAGTATTTTTAACAAGTACCAAAACTCTGTCGGTCACAATGTATTATTTTTTTTTTTTTGGTCTTCACTTCAAAATGTTGGATTTTTATCAGAATTTAGAAAGCTGTTATTTTACAGTCAAGGTAAATGTTGAAGTTCGTTAGAAACACAAGTTTTAACCTCGAAATGTTTATTTAAACATTTTTGTGTTTGCATGGTGATGGTAAATGAAATCAGTTTTTTATTTAATCTTTTAATTTAATGATAAGCGGGTAGTGTTTATAATATCTGAGACATGTCCAGACAGGAATCTTTTATATTATTGGATGAAACAGCATATTTGTCATAGGACCCACTGACAGTTTTGCCAGAAAGGCAGAAGTTGTCCTAAGGTATTGAGAAAGTTTGAGATTTCTTTTAGTTTGTCTCATAAATGTGCAACACACACACACACACACACACACACACACACACACACACACACACACACACACACACACACAAACTCACACACACACACACACGATACTTAGGTGAGTGCTGCACAAAACAGCTTACAAAACCCCAAAAGCAGCTCTTTGGACTTGCTGAATGTATTTGGTGGCATTTTTGGGTTTATGTGTGTGGCTTTAGCATCATATACTGTATATTAAAATGATCGGCATTGGCATGCAGCAGCAGCACACACACATCAGTCAACACAGCGCTCCTCAGCAGATGACGGATGACACCAACTCATCAGTGGGTTTTTCTACTTTAGGATGTTTCTGGTCCGTTCTCTGTTTTACTCTTACCCCTGCTGAAACATAGTGCCTGACAAAATAAAAGTGACCGCCAAGGTTTTCTTCTTGTCTCCTGGTAAAACTTCCATCAATCTTTTGCTTATTGAACAGACCCACTTGAGGAGTAGTTATGCTCTAAATGTCTGGCTCAAGGGCACTTAAGCAGCAGTTTAAAAGAGGCTGGAGTGTTTATATCTGCTGCTAGTACTTCCTTGACAAGTGATCCAAACAAGAGGTGAGGATGAAGAGATTTAAAAACAGCTCCTTGTCTGCTGTCTTGTTGAGTTGAGCTGTAGCAGTTGTAAACATGTCAGAGGCTGATATACTCTGACATTCATGAATTTATTGATCCCATCATTAAATCTTCATCACTGTGTCTCTCAGTGTGTTTGTGTTTATGTGCACCAACGCTCTTCATCCTTGCCTACTCGCTAAAAGCTGATCACAACAATGATGTCATACCTAATAGGCAGTAAAAAGCCCTTTAACAACATTTTGATGATTATTTGTAAATGTTTGTGTCCTTTCTAAGGTCTTTGTGTGTGTGTGTGTGTGTGTGTGTGTGTGTGTGTGTGTGTGTGTGTGTGTGTGTGCGCGTGCGTGCGTATGTATGTGTATGTACCATCAGTGTTTAATGGCTAAGCTTGTTCGCCGGAAATGAAATGAAATTTTACAAAGTAAGCATGTTTAACTACAGTGTGATGTAAAATGTGGTTTCTTGCTTTAGGATCCACAGAACTTTGGTCAGTTTGGTCTAAACACCAGTAATGCATCAGTTCTTGTCCTGGTAGGGCTCTGCGGTGGCTGTGGGTGTGCAGGGTGATGGAGGACGCCGCTACAACGATGGGCAGTGGCATACGATAACAGCAACTAGGCGAGGGGCTGTGGGAACAATCGTTATAAACAATCAATACAGCGGTAACTATTCTCATATTCATACTGACCACAGTGTCTGTGCTGTTGGTGTGGGTGTGTGAGTGTGTATATGAGCAGTTTTCTTGTGTACTTGTGACGGGAAAAGCACACAAACTTGGATGTGTCTAGAGTTTAATCCTGGTCCTGGAGGGCCATTATCCAGCAGGTTTTACTTTAACTGTTTCAACACACCTGATTTCAATCAGTGGGTGATTGTCAGGCGTCTGCAGAGCTTGATGAGCTGCAACAACTGAATCTAGTATGTTGGAGCAGAGAAACTGCAAAACCTGCTGTATACTGGCCCCCCAGGACTGGGATTGGGCACCCCTGGTCTAGTGGGAAACCAACATCAGGGTTTCTGTTATTTAATTTTATAGGTTCAGTCATCAGAGTGTAACCTAAATATTGTGTGATCAAGTTTCTTCTGTGCACAAACATCAATTAACTTCGATTATATCGTTGTAGATCCAAAAGCTGTGTTGTTGTTGGCCAATCAGAAATGAGATCCAAATATCAGGAAATAAGATTCTACTGTCGTCTAAAGCTACTTTCTCCTCTGGCTGAATTCTCTGTGCTGAAACAGGCATATCAGTTTCTCCCCTGACCTACAAGGCATTTATTCCTTCTGTAGACCACTGCTGATGTATTAAATATATGAGTGAAGGACCTCTTTCATGGTGAACATACATCTATAAGCGTATAGGCAGCAGTAGTTCAGGAAGTAGAGTGGGTTGTCCAGTAATTAAAAGGTTGTAGGTTCAGTCCCAGCTCCCGCTAGAGAATGCTGCTGTTGTATCCTTGGGCAAGACACTTAACCCCCCTTGCCTGCTGATGGTGGCCAGAGGTATCAGTGGCGCCAGTGTTTGGCAGCCTCACTTCTATCAGTGCGCCCCAGGGCAGCTGTGGCTACACTGTAGCTCATCATCACCAGCGTGTGAATGACTGATTGTGTTGTGAAGCACCTTAGGGGTTGTAGACTCTGGTGTTTCCATTATTTACCTTTTTTTTTACCATTTTCATTTCTTTCTTCTCTACTCCACACTGTTGATGTTGCACCACCATTCTGTCCCAATAAACAGGAAGTGCATCAGCTTCCAGTGGCAGCATCATCATTGGCGACAACATGGGAGTGTTCATTGGAGGGCTGCCCAAAGATTTTGTTCTTTTAAGAGAAGATTCAGGTAAAAGTGAACATTTTTGTCTTTATAAATTTCATGTTTTTATTCTATGACTCATAACTGGCTTTTGAGAGAAGTTCTCATGAGCAGACTGTGGTTATCTGACCATCAAATGTCCCATAAAAAAGTCCTGAATACAACCTGTTTAGAATGAAGACTTGTGGAGGAAAAACTTTAGGTTAAGTAATCTTTTTGGCTGACATGGTGGTTTCGCTTTTGTCTGTCTCAACCAGGAGATGCCCGGCTGGTGCAGCGGGGCTTCTCCGGCTGTCTCAGAGACGTGAGCATAAAGATGACTGACAGCCCGTCAGAGGACGGGCATTTCCTGGACTGGACAAAAGCCACAAAGAAGGAGGCAGTGTATGAAAGCTGGGAGGGATGTCCTCTTCAGACTGTAGATGGAGCTCATTTTCTGGGTCATGGTAGGATCACAGTAAATACTACATAGTCCCCCCCCAAGGATAACTACTGTACTAGAATAGAATAAATAAACTATACGAGTTACATCAAAAACTGCATTCTTGAACATCAAAATGTGCTGAATAGGATGCTTTATGCTGCTGATGGGAATGAGATTGCTCCATGTTGGTAAATATGACGATAAAATAATCAGCCTCTGAGTCACGATCAGGTTCATTAGTGTACATTTATTCTGATTGCTTAGTAAACACTCGTCGTTTGAGTATGACGGAGCATTTTAAAATAAAGTTCCTTTATGACACTTACATGTTTACACTGATTATATCCTTGTTACTTGCAGGATTCCTGGAGTTGGAGCCAGATGTTTTCAGTGGTGGACAGGACTTTGATATTTCCATGGATTTCAGAACCGATCAGCTCAACGCCCTTTTGCTGTTTACATACAACACACAAACGGAAGACTATGTTCTTGTGAGGGAAGAGTCATGTTTGGGTTAACCCAGAACTTTGTGACATGTTGCTTACATGTGTGCATTTTTAGGTGGAACTGGAAGCGGGTCTCTTGTCCTTCATTATTGCGGCTGATGGTCAGGTGACTGAGCTCCGCATGTGGGTGGGGCTCGGCTACTGCGATGGAGACTGGAAGCAGCTGTCATTGGCAAAGCGTGGCTCTGTCATCTCTGCTGCAGTGAATGATTGGGCCGAGGAGGTGTGGGGAGCGGGAGGGGCGGCGAGGCTGAGTGTCGATTCACCGTTATACTTGGGAGGTGTGCCAGCTGAACTCTTACATCCTGCTCTAGACGCCCAAAGTCACAAACATGGTGGGATATTCCAAATTCAAGGTGTTCAAACAAAACAAGTCTCCACTTTTGTCTGCAACTGTCTTAAAATCCACATTTTAGAAAAACTCAGTGTTTTTCACAGTTCATTTGTGCAGCCTCTAGATGTTGGTTTTCCTTGTTTTGTTTTTGCTGTAACTTGGCCTATTTTTTTGTCACATGCTAAATGAACAAAATGGATTGAATGCATTTAAAAATGCTACTTGTAACTCAAATAATACCTTTGCTAAACTCAAACACCCCCCTTTTTATGTCTTATTCTTCTAAATCCCCTCTTTCTGTTCATCTTTCCACTATCTTTTTTTATTTATTTAATTATTTTCTTTTTGACAGGCCTGGGAGGTTGCATTCGACGTTTTACTCTTCATGGTGATGAAAGGAGCCGCCCTGTCAGTGAGAGTGTTAATCTCTCTGTTGCCTCCCGTCGCTCTGTTCACGTCTACTTGGACGGCTGTCCCACCAGCGAAAGCCGTTTCAACTGCAGAGGCAATGATTCGGTGTTGGTCTACAGTGGAAGGCAGACACAAGCCACAGATTATGGTTTACAGCCTTTCACAGGTATCACTATAGTCTTAAACGCATGCACAGCATTACACCAGCAGGAAGAGGATGCACACAGTGACAGTTTATACGAGCAACAATGCATCTGTTGTTCACATTTCTCAAACAACAATGGAGAAAGTGGAATTAATAAGTATATATTGGCTGCAAAAACCAACCATACATCACGGATGTCACTCTAAATTACCTTTGGCCTCTATAAATGATCAAAATATGTAAGAATTCAGAAAGGCAAACGTATTTTACACACTTATAAAATTTGTTTATAGAGCACATTTAAAACAACATGGCAGCTGAACAAACAATAACAATTAAACAAGACAGATCAATAAATTTAAACAGTTAGCAATCAGGAAAAATATAAACCCCAATTAAAAGAAACTGTCAGAAAACAGCAATACACATAATAAAACAAAAGAAGGACCTAAAATTGTGTAGCATACTATTAGGATGGTGCTTAGAGCAGTAATGACAGCACTGAAAACCCTGTCAAGTTAACAGCCAAAAGCCAATCTAAAGAAATGAGTTTTTATGGCTTATGTTCTTGTTTACAACTGAAGGAAAACAACGATGTTGTGATTTTTTTTAGCTTGTCTTTTTTCATGCATGAGAACCTTCACTATAATCATTGTTTGGTGATTTAAACTGTGCTAGCACATGCACAGGTGTGTTTAAAAACATACTTGCATTTACTGTGAATGATTTTGAAAAATGTCAGAGGTATGGTACCTACTTTGTAAATTAAACAACACGTGTCTCCTCTGTTTTATCTGCCTATTTCCAGAATACTTGTACAGGTTTGTTGCGTTGGCTGCTGGAGGTTGGGCAGCATCACCGTGGCAGAGAGGACGCAGCCATGGCACAGGTAACATGTCTCACCTCTTTATCAGTAGGCCTTCAAGGAAGGATGATGATACGACTACACACAGTATCACACCTCACAACCATAGTGCCCTCTGTGAACAGTACTTATTGAGGTACTGTGGGTCTAGTACACTAAAGTCCTTCGATTTCTTGTCCTGATATCTCTTCATTGTGCTGGTTCTTAAATGAGCCGTTTCACTTTGATTTTAAGATATTTTTGATTAAAAAACCACTAATATCTTGTATAGTGTGTTAGACTTATTGAAAGCCATTGATATTACTTGTGTCAGACAGTATAAGAGATTGATAAAGCCTCCATAAAGGGCATTGCAGTAAAAGGCTGTTAACCCAGAATGGCCTGTGTGGTCCCCTGTGTAATATAAAGCTGCTCGTTAGTAGTGAACGATACACTAGTAGGTCTCAGAACGCCACGTTGTGACACGAGAGAGAGAGAAACTAAAAAGCAGGAAGTGCTAGATAAAGAAACAAAGAATGAAGAGGAAAGACACAGAAGAGCCGTGTCAGAAAAGGATAAAAAAATAATCTTGGACAGCAGGAAGGAAGGTGTTTATGTGAGGGTAAGGAATTATGCAAGGTGAGTACTGCAGAATTAAAAGAAAACATGATTAAAGTCAAGAAGTCTTTCAGACAACTGAAGTGGAAATGAGAGGTTAGATATCAGCCAGCAGAATAAAAGTAAATGACCATCAGAAGAAAAACAGAAGGTCACTAGAAACAAAGCATGATGAGACTCCTCGATAGTGACTAATAGCTGCTATAATATACATAAAGCCAAAAATATAGCTGACTTGAATGGGTTAGATTAAAGGCAGAAATTAGAAGGAAACTTTTCTTTGAGGCACAAAGCTGGACAGATAAGGAGGACAGAGGGTCCTAGATGGACCATCTGAAGAGTCTGATGACATCAGGATAAAAAAGTCGAGTGCAGCTGAAGAGGGAAGCTGATTGCAGTGAAATATGGCCCAGAATGAATGGCTGGCTGTATTAAATCAGTGCTGAAAAAGTTACTACTCTCATAAATACCATTTATGCTAATGGTTAGGTATGATTTACTGGGTCTATTAAAACACAGAGATGGGGAATGCTTTTTTCCTCAATCCCGTGTACTCCCTACTTGTTGTTGAGCTTTTCAGAAAGATAGATATAGAGATTTATTTATGCTCTGCTATTAGTTGATGATTGCTGTAATGTGCTGATAGCTTTTTGTATTTTATTTTTCATTTTTGCCACTTCCTTAAGAAGCATTCTGTTAGACTTGTATTTATTTATTTTTATTTATTTATCTTCTTAGATGATTATAAGGGAACGCTGTGGGCCTTTTGATTCACAACAATTTTCTTACTGTTGCCTCCTAGTTTGACCTCCTGCTCTTTTGTGTTTTCAGCTCCTGAAGCTGTTCCACCTCCGACAGCAATACAGAGTATCGATGGCTTTAGTGTAGAGGTGAACTGGGGACCACCCACTGGTGAAATCAAAGGGCTGATAGACAGATATGAGCTGAGGGCCTACAACAGAGACAGCCCTGACGTGCCACCCATCAAAACCATATATCTGGCTAATGGTAATTTAACAGGTAAATGTCTATGGTCTAAAGAAAGTTGTAAACTTGTCAATCACCATTTGGCTCTTTTTCCATCTTGTCCTTTCTTTTTCCCCATTTTCATACAAACACACATAACGCCCGTTTCCACTGTCAGAATTACCGGGTCATTTTACCGGACCTTTACGGGAATTGCATGTCTCCATTTCACTGGTCTGCCCCAAAAGGACCATTTCTGGATTGTTTCGAAACCGAATGCCTGACCTGGGGTGTGTGCCAGGGTGTATCACTGGGTGTGACTTGTGGTGATCAGTTGTACATCAATAGGAATGAACATTGGCAGACACCGTCAAACAACCAGGATTTGTAAAACTGGAGGAGCTGCTATCGAAGCAGAATGGATGGAACAGAAAGTGCTGCTATAAAATTGCTGTTTCTATTCTGTTTCCCAAAGCTGAAAAATGCAGCAGAAATCTTCCCACAATGCCGTAATCTATGCTGCTTTGTGGTCTCCGATAGCGCCGTAATAAAGCACAGCTTCTTCTGGTCATTGATCACAACATTTTACATCACACAGCTGCTCTCTCGGTTCTCGAACTGGTTAAGATTTGATTTTTAATGTTTGTGGATGTTTTTGCACTGATCATGCTGACATATTAGGAAAGTCTTGAAAGGGCCGATACTACTGAGAGGACAAAACCAGCGTATTTTTCCTATGACCCCTCCAGAAATATCACATAACTCCTATAGTGAAAACACAGCTACACATACTTGCATTGTCCAAGTGAAACTTGTTAATGTCTCTTTGGCGAATCTCCAGCTTTAGGAACTTGTGTCCATTTGGAACGAGAAGCTCTGGACTACCTTAATGATGTCATGCACTGGCATCAGTCCTTTTTTCTCCTCTCTTTTGCTGTTGCTCACTTCTCGATCTTTCCTCACTTTGTCTTTTATGATCAAGACGATGTCTGCATCCACTCCTGCCATTCGTCCCCACTCTCATCCGCTCAGCCATGTCTCTAGGCAAATATGATGATGAGCTTGCTGCTGCCGTCTTTCCCAGTGTCTCCTTTGCTGCTCCTCGCTCCCTCCCCCTCTCTTTGCAAGTCATTAAGTCCACTCTGATAAGCCTTCTTCTTAATTTATGATGGCCCCGACACCTGACTGCAGAATTACACCAATGGCTAAAAAACACAGAAAGCAAATGGCAGTGTAATGGCAACGGAGTGGGGCCCTGGCCTCTAATTGAATTAAAAGACACGGGTAACATTGTGAGAGTGCAAAAAAGAGAGAAGTGCTGGGTGATTGGACACAGAAGGTGGAGTAAAGAGGTAGGAAGTAGGAGAAGAGAAAGCAGACGGTGTAAAAAAGTGACTTTGGAAATATATAAAAGAGCAGAGGGGGCCAAGACAGCTAGGACAAAAAACATCAGAGAGAGACGACTAAAGCTTTACAATTAGAGGAGACCGCCCGTGTTTGCCAAACACGGTAAATTTGCTTAGCAACAGTCCCATCAAGAGACAAGTACAGCATTTAAACTGCATTACTGAGCCATGTTGATACAGACGGCGATACCACACTAAGTACACAACAAAATGAAACTCCTCAGACACATTTGGCACAAACAAGACTTAAGAAATTCTGCCTCTTTGGACTTAATTGTCTTTAAATTGTGGTTCTATCGTACCTCTGTGCATCAGCACAAAACAGCTGGATTGAAACAATCAAGACGTAATTGAAATGAAATGCGAGCTTTCAGATAAATTGTGCTTTAACAAATAACACCCCATTTTAAATCATCCTTCAGGCTTCAAAAACAAACTCCACATGGAAAACATGACAATTAATTTGAATTATGAGAATTATTAATAGGTAAATGGCCAGCATTTGTATAGAGCCTTCTCAGGGCTCATTGACACACACATTCACACGCTGGTGGGGATGAGGTACGATGTAGCCATAGCTGCCCTGAGGCACACTGACAGAGACGAGGCCTGCCGAACACTAGCGCCACCGGTCCCTCCAACCACCAGCAGGCAAGGCGGGTTAAATGTGTTGCCCAAGGACATAACAGCAGCATTCTCTGGCAAAAGCTTGGCTCAATCCTACAACTTTCCGTTTACCGGACAACCTGCTCTACCTCCTGAGCTACTGTTGCCACTGGTTTATGCCACACTATAATTTCACAGATTAGGTTGTCAACCGATTTGCTTTTTGATTAATTCAAAGAAAGCATTAGAGCTAAAAATTGTGTAATGAGATTACAAAACAAAAATAAGTTTCATGTTTCTAAGGCAGACAGCTATAATATCAAGGTATGGTTCACTGACAAAACTCTTTTTAGTTATTATTTCTGATTATAATCAGTCACTTTGAGTGTTTCATGTAAATAGGGTGACCAGATGTCCTTCTATGTGTGGGACAGTCCCGCAATTTCATTACTTTTTTCACATCCCGCAAATTGAGCCTTGTGTCCTGCATTATTGACAGTCTCCCATTTCGAGTTTTAATCTGGCATGAACTGGTTGTGGTCCAGTGGTTGCTTTCCACAGCGTGTTAACACGAGAGAACTACTTTTTATTTTATTTTTTATTTTTATTTTTACCTTTTTTGTATTTTTTCTATCTCCAGAATATACACTCAACAAAAATATAGACACAACACCTTTGTTTCTGCTCCGATTTTTCATGAGATGGACATTCATTCCAGATACACAATATTACCATTTCTCTCAAACATTGTTCACAAATCAGTCTAAATGTGTGATAGTGAGAACCTGTTCTTTGCTGAGATAATCCATCCCACCTCACAGGTGTGCCACATCAAGATGCTGATCTGACATCATGAGTAGTGCACAGGTGTACCTTATACTGCCCACAATAAAAGGCCACCCTGGAATGTGCAGTTTTTTGCTTTATTGGGGGGTCTGGGTACTCAACCGGTCAGTATCTGGTGTGACCACCATTTGCTTCATGCAGTGCAACGCATCTTCTTTGCATAGAATTTATCACATTGTCAATTGTGGCCTGTGGAATGTTGGTCCACTCCTCTTCAATGGCTGTGCAAAGTTGTTGGATATTAGTGGGAACTGGTACACACTATCCTGTACGCCGGTCAAGCACATCCCAAACATGCTCAACGGGTGATATGTTTGGTGAGTATGCTGGCCATGCAAGAACTGGGACATTTCAGCTTCCAAGAATTGTGTACAGATCCTTGCAACATGGGGCCGTGCATTATCTTGTTGAAATATGAGGTGATGTTCAAGGACGTACGGCAAAACAATGGGCCTCAGGATCTCATCACGGTATCTTTGTGCATTCAAACTGCCATCAATAAAATGTACCTGTGTTCTTCATCCATAACAGATGCCTGCCCATACCATAACCCCACCACCACCATGGGGCACTCGATCCACAACATTAACATTGGCAAAGCGCTCACCCACACAACGCCACACACGCTGTCTGCCATCTGCCCTGAACAATGTAAACCGAGATTCATCCGTGAAGAGAACACCTCTCCGAAGTGCTAGACGCCATTGAATGTGAACATTTGCCCACTCAAGTCTGTTACAGCGACGAGCTGGAGTCAGGTCAAGACCCCGATGAGGATGACGAACATGCAGTTGAGCTTCCCTGAAACGGTTTCTGACAGTTTGTGCAGAAATTGTTTGGTTATGCAAACCAATTGTTTCAGCAGCTGTCTGAGTAGCTGGTCTCAGACGATCTTGGAGGTGAACCTGCTGGATGTGGAGGTCCTGGGCTGGTGTGGTTACACATTGTCTGTGGTTGTGAGGCCGGTTGGATGTACTGCCATATTCTCTGAAATGCCTTTGGAGACGTCTTATGGTGGAGAAATGAACATTCAATGCACGAGTAACAGATCTAGTTGACATTCCTGCTGTCAGCATGCCAATTGCACGATCCCTCAATGCTTGTGGCATATGTGGCATTTTGCTGCAAGACAAAACTGCACATTCCAGGGTGGCCTTTTATTGTGGGCAGTATAAGGTACACCTGTGCACTACTCATGATGTCGGATCAGCATCTTGATGTGGCAAACCTGTGAGGTGGGATGGATTGTACCAACAAAGCAGAAGTGCTCACCATCACACATTCAGACTGATTTGTGAACAATGTTTGAGAGAAATGGTAATATTGTGTATCTGGAATAAATTTGAGATCTTTAAGTCCATCTCATGAAAAATCGGAACAGAAACAAAGGTGGTGAGTTTATATTTTTGTTGAATGTATTATACTATTTTAGGATGTTGTTAAGAGGCATGAAAATAAAATCATAGCTAATTTGTTCAATTTTGCTATAGCAGCTTTAATATTCAAACAAATATATTGTATGTGGTATTTTTGCCAGTTTGTAAAATCTACTGTTTTATGTTTATTTTCAACTATAATTCCTTGCATTTGCTCTCTGCTCCTTCTCCTCTCTGATATGTTCAGGTGTGATGACAGGTCTCATTCCAGCCACTCGATACGTTGTTACTGTAAGTGCCTGCAGTCCTGCAGGATGCACTGAGAGTCCTATTAATGACGGGGGTGATGATAACAATAAAAGGTCAATTACGACCCCGGAGGAAGGTAACAAATACATTCCAACAGTCTTTGTACCTCACATCAATGCATAACGAAGTTTGGCGTTGAAAAACCCCACGCGAGTCTTTTGAAAATTACATCTTACATATTTTAGTAGAAAGAAAAGAAGCAACATTAAGAGGAAAAAGGAATAAAGAGAGGTAAAAGAAAGCTGCACAATCAGAACGAATGGCAAACCGATAGCGCAGAGAAGCTTATTTCCCATCTGGGAAGTCATGAGTGGAAGAGCAGAGGCAAAGAAGCACTCGAGTGAGCAAAGGAAATATTTTTCTTCATGTGTTAGCCGCTACATTAATCTGCGTTGGACTAACCAGTCTTGTTGAGGAGATAATGTGACGGCAGGGGTCAGTACAGAGACGGCAAAAAATCAATCTGAAGTTAAAGAGAAAAAACAGATTACTGTATTGATTCTCACTGAGCACAGTTAAGACACTGAAGCATGTCAGCGAGGCTTCAGAAGGAACTTATTAAAAACTCTCTTCACCAACACAACACTGCTTAGACACATTTTCACTCATATCAGCACAGTTTCCACATTTCTGTTCACTGCATCACGGAGGAAAAGATTTTATTTGCTTATTTATAGATTTGTTTGTTTTTTACCTGGCCCAAAAACTATGTCAGTATCTGACCTAATGGATAAGGCCTTTTTCCATCATAACCTTTGATCCACATCTTTGTGTGCATGTTGATGTTTTCTATAATTTCAGCTCCAGAGGGTGTTTCTCCTCCATCTGCAGTCTCTTCTCCATCAGCTCTCTTTGTAACCTGGGAACAACCAGCAAGGTGATCCAACTGTTCAATATTTCCTCTCAGCCCCAAACCACTTTCATTTGAGTAGATGATATTATTTATAACTTACAAATGTGTGTCTTTTGTCCTTGAGTGTCTCTTCTGCACGGTGCATCTTACATAATTTGTTTTAAACCCTGCAGATTAGTAAAGTAGAGGTAAAGTTTTATTTTTGTAAACAGGATGCAACATAAACTACAACAACTCCTTAGGACAAATGTAACAGATGGTTCTGGGTGAGAATTTACTGGAATTCGAGGTGCAGTTATTACTCCCACAGCAGCATCCATGGAGGAACTTCTGGAACTTTCTTTCTAATCAGTCCTTCAAAATAAAAGTCTCAAACATGCACTTGTACCATAAAATGCTCCCAAAACAACAAAAACGTTTTAAAATAGTTTAATATTTTTTGAGAATGTATTTGCAGGTTGTGTAAAGCTCCAGAAGCTATTTAACGCAAATGCACTAAAATTATTTACTGGATATTGTAACCATTCTATAGTATAAAGTCACCACATATCATTTAGACTTGGTGTGTGAGTCCTGCAAGTTTTGTCCGCTTTTCATCTCTAAATAAATTTCCTTTAGTTATTTATGCTTCATTCTACAAATACTGTTTCAACTTTTTTTGTGTTTTCATGTTAATCTCAAAACTGAGCCCTACAGTCATTGTTGTAACTAACAAATAGTCTTTAAAACACCTTTTATTGATTTTATGTGAACTGAACATGTTCTGATTAAAGTTAGAATAGTGGATTTAGCACCTATTATTATGAAACTGTCCTCATTTTAGTTTTTGTTCCATTAAAGGCCCAATGGAGACATCACAGAGTACCTTCTCTTTCACAACAACAATACGGTGTACAGAGGGACCAACCAACAACACAATATAACTGGTAAGGAGGGTAGTGTGTGTGTGTGTGTGTGTGTGTGTGTGTGTGTGTGTGTGTGTGTGTGTGTGTGTGTGTGTGTGTGTGTGTGTGTGTGTGTGTGTGTGTGTGTGTGTGTGTGTGTGTGTGTGTGTGTGTGTGTGTGTGTGCGCGTGTGTGTGCGTGTGTGTGCGGTGTGCGTGTGTGTGTGTGTGTGCGTGTGTGTGTGCGGTGTGTGTGTGTGCGTGTGTGTGTGTGTGTGAGAGAGAGAGAGAAAGAGAGAGAGAGATAGGACGGGGCATTGGTGTAAGAAAAAGGGGCAGAAAGTAAAAAAGCAAAATGGAGTGGGGATTAGCATTTGAAAGAGGAAAGAGTGTCTCAGTCCTTACCGAGGGAATAGCACTTTGAAAACGAAAGCTAGCCACGTACACACACACACACACACACACACGCACGCACGCACACACACACACACACACACACACACACATACGAAAATGAAGCAAACGAGAAACAAAGACAACTAAACATTGGTGCACATCCATACACACATTTTGCTTTCAAAGCTTCTATTGAAGAGTCCTCAAGAAGTCTCTAAACGCATGCCGCACTGTTGAGACTTAAGTGCTGCACAGTGATGCAAATGGATGCACACATGCTCTCTCTCTCTCTCTCTCTCTCTCTCTCTCTCTCTCTCTCTCTCTCTCTCTCTCTCTCTCTCGCTCTCTCTCTCTCTCTCTCTCCCCCTCTCCTCTCTCACACATGTACAAGGCTTACCCAAACACACATACTTAGCAGAGATATACGCAAACAAGTCTGCAAACACATGGTGTAAAATCAGCTTTTGTGTAATTTTATAGACTGAAAATATTCTTTCTTGATAAGATTTTAAATGAAGACTTACATGATTATCATAACGTCACACTGCTTAAAAGTGTGTGTCTCTGTAAGTTAATGAAGGAACGAGAGCACATATCATTCATGCTGGGTTATTAATACCAAGTGTCTGATGTTCAGCGTGATTGGAGGGATTATGGACGTAGTAATTATATGGTATGTGCAAGACTGAGATTGTAACATGGGGGCAGACTGTGGGTAGTTTTACCAGAAGTTATGGGCAGAATCTAGAAACAACTTTCACATAAACAGCACCAGCTTTCCCTTTAACATTTGGTGCATTTCTGTTTGTGGCGCAGGTCTTGGTGTGTTCTCCACCCACTTCTTGGTACTAAGTGCATGCACTTCAGTGAGTTGCACCAACAGTTCACAAGTTACATCCCTGACCTCTCAGCTTCCTCCCGGGCCGTTGCATGCACCAAGCCTTACCCTGCTGGACTCTCGCACTATTTTTGTGGAGTAAGCAAAACACAAATACTCATCTCAGAACCCACATCAGCAGACGATGACAGTAAGATGAAGCACAATGCAGGATGAGACATGGAATTATGTGTATTGATATTATCTTTAAAGAAAATACTATTTATTGAGGTAAAGAAATTGTAATGGGAAATTGGGACAGGACTGGATGAGCCATTGCTTCCTCCTGTGCCTTTTATTTTGGTGTACAAATCTTTTAGTTGGAAATTTAATGTTTTTAACATGATTTTTTTTCCAGTGCTGTCATTTTAAGTGTTTCATTAGAAATAAATAAATTAAATAAAGGGAAATTCCCGCCGGCATGTAGAAGGAGAACACTAAAATTAGAGCATTGGTTTATTTTCTAAGAAAGCACCAAGATCAAATGAAAATATTTTTCCATTTTTAGTTTATTTGATAAAAGAATCACTTTTTTGTTTTGAAAAGTCTGCTGTTGTTGACTACTGTTAAAGATGGTTTCACAGACATACACACACCAGTATATTCACACACGTGTGCTTAAAGAGATGTGTACAAAGTGAGCGAGTGTTGAGTTTAATATTGTTAATGCGGTGATTGTAGTGAAGGTGTGATGTTATGTAAAGCAGTGTTTCTGTCTTTGAAACATCATTTTCTTGAGCCTTTTAACTGAGTTTGAACTACATACTCACCAGGTGTGGGAAGGCTTCATATTGGCTTGTTAGCACATTGGTAATAGGCTGAGGTTGAGAGATCATATTTGATCAATACCACTCTACTGTGACTGTGAGAAAAACTGAGGAGGAACAACCATGAAACATGAGAAGATGGGAAAAGAAAGTGGGAAGGAGACACACATGGATGAGGCAGAATTTTAATAAACAATATAAGGGAATTGATTTTTATGTGTGAATATTTCTTTCTTTTGGTGATTTTAGCCTGATCTGTTTTTATTGGCTTGTGTTAAACCACATGAAAGAGGATTTTTGTTTTTGCTTTTTCCTTTTCTTGGGGTTACGTGTTTAACTATCAGGAAATTTTTAACACTCAGAAGGTTTATTTGTATGTATTCTGAAACCTGATGGTCCAACTTTTCTATTTAACATTTAGTGCATTTCTGTTTGCTTAAAGTAAAAATCCAGAGTTTTTTGTCAGAGGGCATCATCTAGAGGTGGATAAATGTACTGCACCTTAAGCCCCTCTCCCTACTTCCATCAGATTTCAGATTCAGATTTCAGATTTCAGCTTTATTGGCCAAGTAAAATTACATTTACAAGGAATTTGTCTTCGGTAGATGTTCGCTCTCTAAAACATACAACAACCATAATAAATGAGAATAAAAATACCTAAAAACACATAAGAACATGTATACCCACACACATGTTCATTTACGCACACACCTATATACATATATACATACCCACACACACACGCACGCACGTGCACACACATATCCATAAGCATACTGATTAAGTATTAAAAACTATAGTAAAAGGAAGGTAAAATAATCTACAGATTCAGGAGAGAAATGGCTGAAGGAAAGAAACTGTTCTTGTGTCTGGTGGTTTTTGTGTACAGTGATCTATAGCGTCTGCCAGATGGGAGTTCAGTGGAACAGTTGACTCTCATTTATGAATGTGCACCTCTAGGGGCTGCATGACTTTTTTTTTAAAGTCAACTGTCAAGTAATGAAAATCGAGTCGACTGTGACTAGTCGTTGATGATGTCATACACCTGAAGGGGGGGGGGGGGGGGGGGGTCGGTTGCTTCGCTGTAGTTTTTTTTTTTGACAATTAAAATTGCGCCCACATTTTCAAAGTTAAACACATTTCTTTTAACATCGGTAGTTTCTGCTTCAGTCCTCTCCCCCCTCCCCCTGCGCAGCGGCCGCAAACTCACTGATGCGCCTGCAGCCTTTCAGAGTTCCTGCTGCTCTAAACATTAAAATAATTATTTCATTTTCTGTTCCTCACTTCTGATTACCTTCAATGGTGTCTGTTTGTTGCAACCACCAGGTACAAAAACTAACTTGTTTTTATTTGACTATTTTTCTGTCCTGTCTGTTTATTATCTTCCTGCATCTCCTCTTAATCCTAAAGAAAAACTGCAACCTGGGTTCATATATATTCACCTTATGAGTTACCTTTTAACTGTAGTTCTAAAAGATCTACTGACCGCAGAAACAGCGGAGTGCTCGCTGCTTGCCGGCCGCACCAGTGAGGTGCGTCACCGGAGGACAAGGTGATGCGCTCCGCTCCACAGCAGCGAAACGCATCAGGCGCAAATAAAAGACAGAAAACATAAAAGAAAATGAGCCGACATGAACGATCACGTGTTAAATTAGTTTTTGAGGTGGCGACACCTGATTTGATAATGTTACTGTGGCCGTGCTCAGGACACAGATGTCTGGAGCGCGTCAACAATCAGAGCTTCGCATGCGCAAGCTGGTTAAGATTAGGATGGGGGTGAGGGGAATGTTAAATTGCAAGAGGGTAAAGGTCGCAATTTGGTTAAATGTCCGTTTGACGGCGGGTGTCAGTAGAGACGCTCTGGTACAGCGCTTGCCTCCCGACGCGCAGGAGCTTGTCACCTGCTGTCTTTTCCGAGGACTGCATCTTGCCGGTCATTATCACATGACAGCGACTAGTAGATGACGGACATAAAAAGTCACTACAGAGCAGTGAGGTTGACTAGTCGACTAGTTCATACAACCCCTATGCACCTCTAGCCGGGCAAGAGAGTTAAAATACATGTTTGACAATCATTATTCTCATGTTATAATGCTTATTTATATGTATGTTTATATTGAAGACTTTCTTGTCTAGAAAAAATGTCCCCAGCTCTGCATCTGTCTAGCTCATAGTGACTGTTAAAAACCAGACAAACCCTCCATGACGTCACCCGTAGCTTTCTGAAGAGCTGAATTGAAGCCCAATGGGCGATTCTGATCACCGCCATCTTGACCTTGTCAAACGTCTCATCATGCCCAGACGATCCAAAAATGGGCAAAGACATGGAGCTGAGAGTGTTGCTCTGAAGAAGTGTGGTAGCGGTGACACCGAGCTACAAGCTAACTGAGCTAACAAAGATTTGTGGGTGCTTTTATTCTGAAAAATGCAGTTGGGCAAGTCTGATGTGAAGCACACACCAAGCTGCAGTTTTTATGTGATGTTTCTCAGAGAGCTCCACGGGCAGCCACCACGGCCACCCCCAGGAGACAGGAGCAGCAGATTAGTGGATCTCTGACCGCGGGGCTGTTGTTGCTGAAGGGAAGCAGATGGTACCAAAACTTGGTCTCCCTCTGTAGCAGTTACTTTGCAGATTTTTGACCACGGTGGACCAGCAGAGCCCACAAACCTCCATTATCCTGAGTTTTGGTGCCCAACCAGCCCTACCAACACGCCCCATTTTTGACCAAGCAGCATTATGCTGAATGCACATCAGTTCACCATATTCAACCAGTGAATTAAAGTACAGAAATGTAACTTTACTTACCGATCAAAATGGAACAGAGACTTCTTAGATGTATAATTCCACGAATAACATCCAAACACAAGTACACAGAGAACACAACTAAAGTTCAGAAAATCAAAATGGCCGAACACTTTGAACTTGAGCCCGAGGCCTTCGTCAGAGCTAGCCACTAACACTAGCTCTAACAGCTCAAGCTACCTGTCAAAAAAAAAAAAAGACAGATTGTCAACATTGGATCAAAGTAATGCGTATGACTATAACTTTCTAAGAAGTCATACATAATTCCTGAAAAGGGGAAAACTGGATTGCTGCTTTAAGAAATAAAATGTATGTTAAGTTAACTCAGTAAAAAATGTTTAACAGAGGATACTTTCGTATTACAATTTAAATATTGTACAGCTACAAAGGATTCAGTCAGTTGGCTTCTCTATGTAGAAAAGTTTGCTTGATAATTGGCTAAAACAATTACAGAAGTTATTCTCTTGCTTTAAAGAAAGTGTATGATGACTCATTTAGTTTTATTTGTCGATTTCTAATTTCAGGCATACTTGATTCAGCATGTTTTTGTTTGCTACTCTGACAAACCACCCGCCTGTTGCGCTCCTATTACTGAACACACTTTTAAAGCCGAGGGTTTTCGTAAATTATTTTCACACGTTGAGTTATGGTGCAGATTATTACAGCTCCCCTTTGATTTAGAGTGGGCATGCCTCACTCTGCCAATCAGCTGCATAGACGTACATTTTATAATAAATGTGACGTTTTTGCCACAGGGTCTAATTGTGTGGTAACAGACGCTCATCAGTCATTCAAAAAACTGAATTTCAATGGGAGGAACCAAGAAAGGAATCCATCACTGTTTCACACACACACACATGCACGCACGCGCGCGCACACACACACACACACACACACACACAACGTCAGGAGGGGTGGGCCAAACGGCGTGAAAGGAGGAGAATCATTCTGAGCATACTTTATAAATAAATGGAAGGACAAACATGCTGTCAGGTTGTGTTGATGAGCATTCTTAGAGAATAAGTCACTTTTAGATCCCTATTGAGAAGACAGAATATAAAACTTTATTAAACATTATTAAAACCCTAACAAAATGATCTCACATGAGGCATCTGAGAAGAGGGGATATTTTTCTCACGCCCTGCTAAAATCTGCTGTTTCCGTCTCTTTCCAGGTGGTCACGTCCTTCTCAGATAAATGGCATTTTGGAATTCTACTCCATCTTCCTGTCACATGACGGAGCAGAACCTGCTCTGGCTTATAACAGCTCAGAACTTTCTGAAGAGCACACACTTCGCAACCTAACCCCTGGGACAACTTACTCCATCAGAGTGGCTGTAAGCCCCCACCCCCACCCCCCACCCCCCACACTTCCTTCGCATGTTCTGTTGAACTTGTATTATAAATTATATATTTTTTGTCTTCCTGTAATTTTTGTGAGCCAGGCGTGCACGGGAGGCGGGTGCACAGTTAGCCCCTCAAGCCAGGCGCAGACTGAAGAGAGCACCCCGGAGAATGTCCCTGCTCCCCTGGTCGTCCCCCTGTCCCCACATGCACTCAACGTCAGCTGGACTCCTCCTGAGACTCCCAACGGTGAGAGTACACGTATTTTTGCACACAAGGTGCATAAACACAGGCTTTTAAACATGATGCTACTGCAAACCGAATAAAAGAGCCAAACAACTACTGGTGTAAAAATAATGAGAATAAATCTACTTTTGTAGGACAAACCAGTTAAGATAGAGATAAGAAATAAAAGGAATCACAAATCAGCTCCAAGGAAAAAGAATAAAAACTCAGAAGTAAAAGGGACAGACACAGTGAGAGGTTCAGAAACTGAGATTAGGATTAACACTGTCAGTTAGAGCTTCACTGAGCTCCTTAAAGTGGAGGAAAAGTGCTCCCTTTTGACTGAAGTGAGAACTGCAGCCATGAAGAACACAGCTTTGCAATATCTGTCTATTAGGATTATGATTAATACTTCACTCCTTTCTTTAAAATTTAGAACAAGCATTTAAAAAAGACTCAACAAACATGACTTAGTGTGAAGTCTAAGTTTTATCTGCATGTCTTGTTTATTGAGAAATTTGCTATTTCTGCATTGTCAGAAGCTGCACTTGTTACAGTAAAGAAACTCGGATCATAAAGCGGTTTTCTATGTCAAAGAGCAGGATCAGTGCCAACACTGTCTGTAGATTTAGTTATAAGTATTTGTTCTTAAAAGAAACACCTTCAAAAATAAAATGTGACTTTTATTGTCTAAATTGGTTTGAGCCTAATGGGAACCCTCCTCAGGACTCCATTCCTCTACTTTAGAAATAATAATAACATTTCAATACCTAGAATAAATCTTATGTTGTACACGCACAGATTCAGTAAGAAATTTAAGGGTAAAAGAAAAGTACAGCAAATATTACAAAGAGAAAATGTCTTCCTCCTGCTGCACAACTCTGTTACAAGGCTTATAGCAGATCCCAATAAGTCCAATTAAATAGAAACTGTAAGAGGATTCATCACCTCGCTTAACAACATAGAACACAGGGCCACAATTTTTTGGTGTGCGTGCATGTGTGTGTGTGTGTGCGTGCATGCGTGTGTGTGTGCGTGTTAAGCTAAACACCACATAAGTGTATTTTGCACCATAAACCCTGCGATGTGTGCTCACATTAGCTGGATAAATTACTTAAAGGTTTTCTCCTCTGATGACAGAATACATTAAACAAGGGAGACGCTTAATAATAATCACCTTATTATCTCACGCCTTTTTTTTCTTTTAAACGGATCTGTTCATCCCTTTTTTTCTACGACTGTTTTTTTTTTACTAAATGAATGACGATGGTGACGATGATGGTGATGGGTTACAGAGAGAGATCCTGTGTTATTTTCTCCACATCCCTCCCTCCTCCCCATTTCTCCCCAATTCCACAGGGATTTGTGAGGGATAATCCTCTCGGGGATTAAGTCAGGGCAACACGCAGACAAAGAGGGGAAATAAGCCTGTTATGCATTCGCTGCTTCATTTCCCAACCTGTCTTTATTACAGCCTATACTGATATGGGCTTATTCACATACACACACACACATACATGCATGTGATTGGCCACATTAAGAGCTTCCCAGATAACTTGCGTCCGTGGGGTTTTTGCGTCTTCATTTTCCTGATAGGTGTGTATCTCTGCATTGAGCAATAATAAAACCCACACATGATTAAAGCAGAATAGACTCTTAGTTCTTAGCACTGATCTTTTGAGCCCCCGTATGCATTTTTATTAAGGAAAACCACATTTGGCTCCGTAGTGTTTCATTCTTTTATTAGGTGGGTGTAATGCCATGTAATTATTGTGCTGGTGTTGGTGTGTGTAGAAGTACAAGTGTGAGTTTTCAGATAAATTTGTGTCTTTTCTGAGTGTTTTACATTTGTGGATGTGTGTGTGGATGTGTTTGTGCACACACCTAATTCCCCTCCTCATTTGTGTGTGCGTGCATGTTCCTTCTTGTACTGCTGTCCTTCTCAGAGCCTTCATCCTTGTAACGCCGATGGTTACAATTGTCATTTCAGCACTGTTTTCATCTGTAGGACACTGACTGGCAGGCCTGGAGCCTCCAAGTCAGTTTTCATTTGCATTGTAATACAGTGAACCAGACTGCACGGCAACATTGTGAAGCTTAGTTTGTGGTTATCACTTATTCCAGAGTGGACACAGTCAAACAGTATGTTAGTGGCAGATACAACCAGAGAAGAGGGATGTGGAATGATTAGGTGCATGCCAATGTTTAGACAGAGTTTTTCAAGACAGGGAACTATTCATAATGATCGTGTGTAAAAATGAATTCCAGTATAGACATGTAAGGCTTTTTATTATATTTTGCAGTCCAAAAAATATTTACTATTGCAGCAAGAAGATCCTGGGTTCATGTCCTGTGTGTCTCTGTATTGGCCTGCGATGGACTTGCAAACTGTCCAAGTTGTACCTCGCCTGTATGCCCAAATATTGCAGGAGATAGACACCACCATCCCATATACCCCACCCCACCGCAAGCGATTAAAGGTCTTATTCACTTTTTTTTTCAATAAATTTGCCATAGTCTCTAGTCGAAGAAGTGGGGTAGCGTAAACGTATTAATATTCATGAGATGGGAACGTCTAGCATCTGATTGGTTGACAACAATGCGACTTCTCTGCTGTCTTTAACAGAATACTGAAAACATATTTTCATATCCATATCCAACACTGATGGTTTATCTCCTTAAATAACACAAGCCAGCACATCTTCTGCCATGTTGTGAAAAAGCTAATGGTTAGCTTCTACTAGCTGTGACGTGGTTGGAAGCCAAGGTGATCGAGGCAATGATTGCTACTTTTCTCTGTGATGTAGAAAAGACTTAGCCTGGCAAGCCAGACTAAATGAATATAATATGTGGTCTGGGAATGCTTCATTGACTGCTCTCGGTCGTGCAGCGGATCCTACCGTTGTCTTTCAAACGATCTCTGCATGCTACTGGACAATGAACAATGTGACGTACTCACCGCAACAGATGTCGGTCCGCTGTTGAAGGTGAAAATATGTCATTTTTTTCTTAAAAAAAAAGAACTTAAATACATCTATCTGCTCCTGATTCTAAGCCCAAGTCCAAATAGTCAAAACTTGATGTAAAAGTCGTTTCAAACAAGCTGTCACCATCTTGTTCCACTCTGTTGCATCATCCCACCCACCAGACGAATAGTGCCCTGATTGGTCCACAACGTGGATAAAGCGCTGTGATTGGTTGACAAAGCTGATAGAGCGCTATGATTGGCCCACTGTTATGGACCAGTCACAGCTCTCTGTGTTTGAAACCCCTCTAGAGAGCTGTGATTGACAAGCCAGAACGCTACATGGGTCTGCAGAGGTTCCAATGGAGCATTCCTTGATCAAACTTAATAAAGCAAGAATTTGGTCTAGTACATTTTCTCGCTCAGTCGTTTTCCCGTCTATTTCTTTTCTGCGGCTAATACAGGTAATGGGCATGCATCATTGCTCAACTGAGAGTGACCGTCAGTCAGTACGTCTGCATGTGCATCAGAGAACCAAACTATTGCCCTAAGTAGACTGTCATTAGTTTTTCAAAATGCATGTCAGTGTGTTAATCTGGCTGAAGGTGAACCTGTTCTAATTGAGCTAATGCAATTGGAACTTGGTTTCCCCTGTGTGTGAACGGTTCAGTCGATTGGACGCTCTCCTTTTGGAAGGGACGAAACCGTGGAAGTGATACATCATCACCACAAAGTAACACAAGTGACACCATCGAACAGTACACTATGCACCAAAAAAGTAGTGCTGCGGCGTTGTTCAGGTCCATTCCTTCAGCTGTTGTGCATGTGCTGATTTTACTCCGTCTGCTCTGTCTGTTACTCCTGCCAGCGTTTGTTTTATTTTTGTTGCTATGAGCTAATAGGAAGAATGCCAACACGAAAGGGTGCATGTTGCCATCTACTATAACAAAGGCACTTCATTCTATAATTTAGTTTTGTAACATACATATAAACTAGTATGAAGGCTCCCAGTGCATGTAAATGCACTCAGTCTCAGTGAGCAATACTTTTAAAGCTGCTGTGGAAAATTTGCAAAACAAGCTAGCTTTTAAACACAAATACGGTCATCAAATTCTCATTATCAACCCACTCGGCCACGCCCCCGATACTGAAATGTGCATTGCTCAACTAAATATGAGTGCAAAACACCAGTCGCTGTTTCCTAAATCCAAACATCTTTAGTTGTCCACAGCTTCAAATTGTGTTTTTCTTCTTGGGACTCTCGTAGTTTTTCCTAAAACTGAAGTGGTAGCAGCCAGCTGTTTCTACTTCTCTGATATTATTTAGCAAAGAACCGGGTGCGTTCTTGCTTAATACACAAGCGCATAATGAGCGGAGGACCCAGGTAAATGAGGAAGTACGGTGGTTTCATAAGACTGACACAGGATTGTCCAATCTTTAGTTTCAGACTGAGCTGTTTTATTGACTGAGGTTTTTAGACAAATACAAGAGAACCACTATTTTTCAAGTCTTGTATACAATGTTACAATGTGGTTAATAAATGTTTTAAACTAGCTTGTTTAACAGATTTGCCATTGTAGCTTTAACATAAATGTGGGAAGTTATAGTAAAATGCTGTTGACACAAAAAAGCTAGAGAGAAAACCATCAAGCAAACACAAAGAGGAAACAGAAGGGTTAGCTGCGTTATGCTAATATATGCTAGTAATGCTAATGTAACACCACAGTTGAAAAATGTGAAATTGTATGAAAATGTCTCCAAATCACAATAATGTCATTTTAACAGAACAAAGTGAGATCTGATCCACAAGTAAACTTTCTTTTGCATGACTTATATTCTTTCAGGAACACGTTTTCAGCAGGGATAAGGCTTAGTGCACCACATCCAAACATGTCAGGCAGAAACATTCTTAGACATGTTCAGTTCCTAGTCTTTCTGGCAGAAACTTTTCTAAGATCTTTTCTTCAGCAGATCACGAACTTGTTCAAACGTTTTACAGGCTAGTATCATCAAACCCCACACCCCTACTCACAACCAACAGTTTATATTCAAAATAAAAGCATGTACACTCAGCAGAATATTTTTAATCACTTTTTAATTGTTTATGGTCTTTATACATGTTGTAATTTTATTTTTCTAAACAGGTGTTATAACAAGCTATGGTCTGTGGCTGAATGGAGACCTTATTCTAAACTCCAGTTCCTCCCAGAGGGTCTTCGTTGTGGAGGGTCTCTATCCATGGAGCCGGCATATAATCAGGCTGCAGGCCTGTACAGCTCAGGGCTGTGGTAAAGGACCAATGGTCAGTGAATAAGTTCATAATAAACACATGTTGTGCCCAAAATTGTAAAATAATTGTAAATGTTTTCCTCTCTGTCATTTTATGTGTAGGTAATACTGACCTAATGCAAAACATATTTTGTTTGCCTCTCAAATGTTTGACTATACAATATAAACCTTTGCTCTTTCTAACAACTTTAGTATTAAAGTCTGTTAAAGATTCTCTGTTGGGTGAATAAACTCACAACACTCAGTTTAATTAATACATTTCACAGTAAAACAGATTTTTAGATCGAATTTTGTTGCTGTGACAGGAAAAGTAATAGTTACACAAATGTGGGAGTCCACTTAGATATATATATATAGAAGTGTTTTGCATTGAGTGTATGTGTGTGCGTGTGCATGCATGTGTGTGTCACCGGGCATCATAAAGGTGATCGATTTTCTCAGCTCAATAACGAGGGCCGTGTGATGACAGTGACATTTGCTAGGAAATGCCACTCCATTCTCAACGACATCTCTGATGGGGGGCCAGATTTTTGGGGCATATTTCCAATACAGACTCCATGTTTTGTTAAACACCCGCAGCAATAGCTGACACTGCAGAAAAGAAGGAGAGGAGGATGGGAAAGGGTAAGCCGAAGAAGAAGGGTCAGCAGGAGGATGGTGGGAAATGCAGAAAAAAGGCGACGGTGAACAAAGAAATTAGTGGATAAAAAATAATAAAAAAGAGGACTGAAAAAAATCATCAAATAGTGGGAGGTGAAGGATTTGCCTTAGAATAGCAAGAAAACAGACTTTTGCCATATATTATTCATGTATGTACAGTGCTCAGCATAAATTAGTGCACCCCCTTTAGGAGAAGCTTCCTTCATGGACGATACCCATGCATACCATTCCTCTGCAGTTTGCGCCGGATGGTGTCACGGGAAACGACCACTCCAGTTTGACTTTCTACTGCTTTAGCTAACTGCAGTGAACTTACATGGTAATTTTCTTCAACCATTCTCATGAGAAGATGCTCCAGGTGAGATGTTAACTTCCATGGATGGCCTGGACGTCTTTGTAAGATGGTTACATTTCCATTTTTCTTACGTTTTTGGGTGACTTTTGTTACAATATTTTGATAGATATGTAAAGCTTTGCTGATCTTCTTGTAGCCCTCACCTTTTTTATGTGAAGAAATTATTTCCTTTCTCAGATTTTGAGACATTTCTCTTCCACGTGGAGCCATTGCTGACAGCATTAAATGAGAAGGGCTTTTCTTTGTTAGGTAACGCCCTTTTATAGTCACCTGTCTGCTGGACACCTCTTAAAGGAATCATGAGACTCACTTGTGGTTGAATGCCTGTTCATTTTAATTTCAGTTCAGATCTTTTTTATTTCAAACATATACATTCACAATTGGGGTGTACTCATCTTTGCAATGTGGGCTTGAATGGATTTGTTAGGAAAATCACTTTTTTGTGTGTGAAAATTAAGAAATTTTGTTTCCAAATTGTGGTCCACATTTCTTTGAGTATTTTGTAGCATGGCGTCTCATGGAAAATATTGATTCTAAAAGGAAACTAAAAGTTTTTCTGACAAATGTAGTGAGGTATACTCATTTATGCTGAGCACTGTAGTTGTCTCCGTAGATTTAACTAGGGCTGCCACAAACGATTATTTTAATAATCGACTAATCACCAGTTTTTTGGACGATTAGTCGACTAATCGTGTCATGCGTAAAGTATAGCTTAAAACTATTATTCAACTATAGCTTATACATATAAGTGTATAAGTATAGCTTATAGTTATAATATAGTTTATTACACCAGGATGCAGCAGCTCTATAATACCCATCATTAGCTTCTAGTTTGAAGTGTGGTCTGTTATGTGCCATCTAAAAATAAAGACAAGATGATAGCTTATCAAACTACAGGGGTCTTATGTCCATCAACATGTTCAAAATTGCCTCAGTCAGAAAGTTTGATTGCTGAGGTGTGCATATTAGCTTTGTAACAAACCCGCCCATTAAAGAGAGACATTTTTAACACTGTAACGCAGCGGGATAAAATAAATCATTAGTGTTCGTAAATTCTGAGTCATGCTTCTCCGTCAGCTCCAGAAGGGAGAGGTTGACTATTAGATGTATTGTGGGCTGCTTTGTTTGTTGATGTCATCGTGACGATTTGATTATTCATGGCCGTCCTAAATGTAACCAGTTTTTTTTTAGTTTTATACATGATTTACGTTTGCTTGACCTTTTTGACTTGGAATTTCTGTTTGTTTTGAAGGCGTACGAGTGCTTGTGGCTTTTCTCTTTTTCATTCTAAATCAGGTGGAGACCCGTACATTAGAGATGGCTCCTGAAGGCCCTGTACTGCTGGAGCTGACCAACCAGAGCTCTAGATCGCTCCGAGCTCGCTGGACGGTGCCCCCGAGAGCAAATGGGAACCTCAGCTACATGCTGTACTACAAAAGCAAAGGTGACTGATTCTGTCTCAAATGGAAGCATTGAAACTTTCACAACATTAGATCACACTTTATTAAATTGTATCATTTGCAAATGCTTGTATGCATATTTTTCCCCCCATAAAATGATCATCTGTAATGATCAGGGCTGACACCAGAGCCTTTTAACTATTATAAAGCACTTTGCAACCTCGTCCACTTCTTTAAAAGGAAACTCGTATTTTTAATTCATTTTCTTGAGCCAGTATGTGCTAAAATTACTCTTTACAGGGTATTAAAAAGTCACTACGCCCTCTGTGGCCAGAATAACGCACTTGCAACTTCAGAGTATCCGGACTGCTGCCCTAAAGTCTCACAAAGTCACGCTTTACGCCAATCCACGTTTACACTTCAGGACAGATGAACTATAGCTGGTTCGTATTTACTGTAAGGTGTTCATCATAGCAGAGCAGAGAGAAGAAACAAATAAATCATTTATCTGATGAAACTCAAAAAGATTAAATGTCAGACTGCGAAAGGAGTCAAACAAGACTAAACATCGGGTGTTTTCTAAATCACGAGAGGTCAGAGACAAATAAGGATTCAAGTTGGACGCAGACCTAACGATCATCCTATTGAGCTTGTAAGTACAACTTCAACGTGTTTTGTTTGTGTACGTTTGAAAATCTGCCCAAATATGCTTGTCAGGCAGTGGTGATCTCACCCCGTTCCGTCACCCTTAGGCATAAGCAAACGCTCAGTCTTTCATGCTTTCTCGTCTCTATCCGAGGTCCTTCTAACCTCACACACCATTGGATCCTTAGTGAACCGTGACAACCACAGCTGCTGCTGAGCAGTGCTGCCACCCAGCTTAAGCCACTGTCCTGTTGGCTAGCTGATTGTAGCTTGTAAAGTAACTTGTCTGTCTGTGATCAGCCAGCGCTCTAAATCCACGTTTGGGTTTACCGACATGCTACAGCCTTTCCTGTGATCACATGATTCCTCCTCTCAGGATCTTTGTCATAATATTTACCAGGGACTGTAAAGTGGAGCTGACTAGCCTGGTGCTGCTGTCTGCTTCCAGCACATTTCCAGCATGTTTTAGATCATGAACACAGCTGATTTGTTTGATTTAGTAAACTGTAGACACTAAGGAAGGCTGAGGAGACATTTCAGCTGTTACATTAAGGTGTTAAAAACTCTGACGCACAGCAAGGATGAGAGTTTCACTTTGGTTGTATAAATGAGTTGATAACGGGCTCTAGGGGGTGCTAAAAGCAGGCCAAAACTGCAGCATGCTCCTTTAATCTGAGATATCAGGTAGACTAGTCATTTTTGTTTGTGTTGACATTTTACAAACACTTCTTTTGGAAATGTCAATTTTCTTTAAATTACCTCACAAACCCACTCTGGTTACACCTGTAAATCCTAGAAGTTTCTATTTAGTTACATAGAAACTGGAAAAATTATATATTTTTTAATTGAAGATAAGGAATTTTTAACAGATCTGCATTTCAAAGGAATAGTTTGGAAGTTATTTTGAGATATATCATGTAGTTCAGAGATGACCAACAAAACAAAGAAATTGGACATGGAAAGAAAACACTCTTTTCTTAGCATATGCTCCTTGCCACCCACTCACTCACTCACACATGCACTTTCTTTCATAACATTTTAAAATTCGAACTAGCCAATGGTGATTTTGTTACAGCATAATAATTTTATTGTCACCAAGTATTTTTTTCATGTGTTCTTTAAAGCTGCCTTACGGGTGAATATAGCATGATTATATGGATAGAAATTGACTCAAATGCACACACACACACACACACACACACACACACACACACACACACACACACACACACACACACACACACACACACACACACAATCAACAAAGCAAACTTACACTGGACATCAGGCAGGAGATGGGAAAGTGGGAGCAGAGGTAATCAAACAAGACCATATAGAAAAGGTAAGATATTTTGAAATCTCCATAGACTTAAGATTGGAGATGGATTTTGAGCACAGAGAGGAGAGCTATGGAACAAAGACGGATGGCAATAACGCTACTATAAAAGAACTAATTTTTCTGTAGACACATTGAAAGAGTGCATGTAAACCAGGATATGATGTATAAAAAAAAAGAAAACGTTCAGAAATGACCAACGAGACAGAAACTGAACATGGAAAAAATATGCTTCCCTTAGAAATCTTTGATTTAAAATGCACTAACTGCTTAGACTAAGCTTTTTTTTCTTATTTGTACAAGATAACCCATGTCAGAAGCTGCTGGTTTCTACTTTACTAGATATTAACGTGTTAGTGTCTGCTTTTGATGATTAGATGGTGATGGTCTTTTGGATGGAGGTACAGCAGCGGGTGTCTGGTTGTCTGTGACGGACCTACAGCCTTACACAAACTACAGCTTCTGGATCAGAGGATGTAACACCCAAGGCTGTGTAGAAAGCTTGCCTCTCAGCACTGCTACACCTCCCACAGGTAAACAAACACACATAAACAAAAACAACTTGTACAAAGTAAGTTTGCTTCCGCAGTGGAAGCTGGCTTGCATGCAGTGATGATGAAGTTGGTGGGATTTCTTCATTTAGTTCCTGATTAGATGCAGATGTTTGAGTTGAAAGAACCTGAAGTGGTTCGTCATCGATAGTCGCCAAATTATTTCATTTAGTTTCAGGCCCTGTCCACACGTAGCCGGGGATCTGCCAAAACGTAGATATTATTCTACGTTTTGGCCTGTCATCCACACAAAAACGGAGTTTTTTCACACGAAAACGGATCTTTTTAAAAACTCCGGCCAAAGTGAAGATCTGCGTTTTCTCCGTTTTGGGTGTCTGCGTGTGGACGGACAAAACCGGAGTTTTAAGGTCCGCAACGTCACTTTCCGCGACAAAAAAATGCTGACATCGTGTGTGCGACCTGTGTTTACACTAGCCGACATCATGGATGCCCTCAGAGCTGCGCTCTGTCACTACCCAATCCATCAATTGTCCAAGCGCTTTCTGCTTGTTTGTTTTTGCAAGTGGAATTACTGCTCCTTGCGGAAGACCACAGACGAAGGACGAGGTTAAGAACGGGGGAAGTACTGCCGCCTACAGGTCTGGCATGTCCTTAACAACGTATTTATCCGGGTACGTGTGGACAGAGTTTATTTTTAAAACGCGGTGGTGTGGATGCAAGTTTTTCGAGAGGTGGATATTCGTTTTTAAAAAAACCCGGCTACGTGTGGACTAGGCCTTAGACAGATCTGACTAAATGTTTCCGCTTTCTATTAGATTCATTAATTTAACACAAGACCCTGATTATTTGTCCACTATGATGCATAACTGAAGGAATATTATACAATCATATAAATCCATTATGTCATAGGTAATTATTGCTTAATGTGTTATTTGTTTTTTAGTCTGACCGTAAGAAGGTATAATTGTAATTAACTCCAATAAATATAACTTAAGTTATGGTGATATGTCTTATAATGTGAATTAACAGTTGTTAATGTAATAGTTATATTTTTGTGTATTCATGTGTAATTGAATTAATAGTCATTCTAAATAAATATGAATTTAAAGAAGTTTTTAAAACAACAGTTACCGTGTTGAAAATAGGCAGCTTGGAGTGTCTAATGTAACAAAGCCAGTGCCATCTCTTATCTGCATCCCTATGCCAATGGTAAATTCAATCTGAGAAAAGCTGTTTTAACACATCATAAGCTAAGACACACACCCTTAAAATTTCCTGCGTCTCTGGGACTTGGAGCTCCCTCCATCTCCTACACATCTTTGGGGGGCAGATCTGTGGCCCCTCACACTCTCTATTGGACGCTCCTATAGAGAAACCTTACATATACAGTGGGGCAAAAAAGTATTTAGTCAGCCACCGATCGTGCAAGTTCTCCCACTTAAAATGATGACAGAGGTCAGTAATTTACATCATAGGTACACTTCAACTGTGAGAGACAGAATGTGAAAAAAAATCCATGAATTCACATGGCAGGATTTTTAAAGAATTTATTTGTAAATCAGGGTGGAAAATAAGTATTTGGTCAATAACAAAAATTCAACTCAATACTTTGTAACATAACCTTTGTTGGCAATAACAGAGGTCAAACGATTACTATAGGCCTTTACCAGGTTTGCACACACAGTAGCTGGTATTTTGGCCCATTCCTCCATGCAGATCTTCTCGAGAGCAGTGATGTTTTGGGGCTGTCGCCGAGCAACATGGACTTTCAACTCCCTCCACAGATTTTCTATGGGGTTGAGGTCTGGAGACTGGCTAGGCCACTCCAGGACTTTCAAATGCTTCTTACGGAGCAACTCCTTTGTTGCCCGGGTGGTGTGTTTGGAATCATTGTCGTGTTGGAAGACCCAGCCACGTTTCATCTTCAAAGCTCTCACTGATGGAAGGAGGTTTTGGCTCAGAATCTCACGATACATGGCCCCATTCATTCTGTCTTTAACATGGATCAGTCGTCCTGTCCCCTTAGCACAAAAACAGCCCCAAAGCATGATGTTCCCACCCCCATGCTTCACAGTAGGTATGGTGTTCTTGGGATGCAACTCAGTATTCTTCTTCCTCCAAACATGACGAGTTGAGTTTATACCAAAAACTTCTACTTTGGTTTCATCTGACCACATGACATTCTCCCAATCCTCTGCTGTATCATCCATGTGCTCTCTGGCAAACTTCAGATGGGCCTGGACATGCACTGGCTTCAGCAGTGGAACACGTCTGGCACTGCAGGATTTGATTCCCTGCCATTGTAGTGTGTTACTGATGGTGACCTTTGTTACTGTGGTCCCAGCTCTCTGCAGGTCATTCACCAGGTCCCCCCGTGTGGTTCTGGGATTCTTGCTCACCGTTCTCATGATCATTTTGACCCCATTGGATGAGATCTTGCGTGGAGCCCCAGATCGAGGGAGATTATCAGTGGTCTTGTATGTCTTCCATTTTCTGATAATTGCTCCCACAGTTGATTTTTTTCACACCAAGCTGCTTGCCTACTGTAGATTCACTCTTCCCAGTCTGGTGCAGGTCTACAATTATTTTCCTGGTGTCCTTCGAAAGCTCTTTGGTCTTGGCCATAGTGGAGTTTGGAGTCTGACTGTTTGAGACTTTGGACAGATGTCTTTTATACAGATAATGTGTTCAAACAGGTGCCATTAATACAGGTAACGAGTGGAGGACAGAAAAGCTTCTTAAAGAAGACGTTACAGGTCTGTGAGAGCCAGAGATTTTCCTTGTTTGAAGTGACCAAATACTTATTTTCCACCCTGATTTACAAATAAATTCTTTAAAAATCCTGCCATGTGAATTCATGGATTTTTTTCACATTCTGTCTCTCACAGTTGAAGTGTACCTATGATGTAAATTACTGACCTCTGTCATCATTTTAAGTGGGAAAACTGGCACAATCGGTGGCTGACTAAATACTTTTTTGCCCCACTGTAGAAGTGCATGTACACACACAGGTGCTCACATGGTGCTCTCATAAGTATGGACTTGGGCATTTTCAACACATGCCTTAAGGCTGTGGTTGGCACTAAATGCACTGGGATTTATTATCGTGTGATTGTTCAGTTAAACAATGTTGATTTTATATTTCCTCATCAGGTTGATACAGTGATAGCCCCCCCCCCCCCCCCTTCCTTTTGTCTCTTCCTTTCTCTTTCACCTCTGTCTCCGTGTCTGGTCGGAATTATAAAGCATCCAAAAAACAATAACAGTAAAGTTTTAAGTATCAGGCGTGACATTAAAGCTGAAGCTTTGATGCTCTGTAAGGCTTGTCACCAGCATTCAGACATTAATTCTGTTTGCTTCACAGCCGGACAGGACATGGGGGGGGGGGGGGGGGGGGGTGTTAAATAAATAAACACAATGCCGCCAATTTGCTGCATCAGAGAGCCTTAAATCGTTTATAAGTGGCCGTGAAGTACTGTTGTGCAATCATGTCCTTTTTACAAAAGATTAGGTGATGGCGGTATAAAGGTGGCATGGGGCAGTCTCTGTGCTGCTGCAGACTTTCGTTTATTTTAGACTAAACTTGCTGTTTATTGCAGTCAAAGCCGTTCTAAGTTTTTTTTAACAGGCCGCTCCTAAAGGTTCCTGTCCTCCACAGTCCCTGTGCAGTCTCTGGTGATCTGAGCTTCAGCTATAACGGAGAACAGCTCTAAGGCCTAGTCCACACGTAGCCGGGGTTTTTTAAAAATGAATATCCGCCCCTCCAAAAACTTGCATCCACACCACCTCACTTTAAAAAAAAAAACTCTGTCCACACGTACCCGGATAAATACGTTGTTAAAGACATGCCAGACCTGTAGGCGGCAGTACTTCCCCCATTCTTAACCTCGTCCTTCGTCTGTGGTCTTCCGCAAGGAGCAGTAATTCCGCTTGCAAAAACAAACTAGCAAAAAGCGCTTGGACAATTGATAAAGCGAGTGCAGCTCTGAGGGCATCCATGCTGTCGGCTAGTGTAAACACAGGTCGCACACGTGATGTGCGACCTGTGCACTATACAAGTGCGGGTCATGTCAGCATTTTTTGTCGCGGAAAGTGACGTTGCGGACCTTAAAACTCCGGTTTTGTCTGTCCACACTCAGACACCCAAAACGGAGAAAACGCAGATCTTCACTTTGGCCGGAGTTTTTAAAAAGATCAGTTTTCATGTGAAAAAACTCAGTTTTCGTGTGGATGACAGGCCATAACGTATAAAAATATCTACGTTTTGGCAGATCCCCGGCTACGTGTGGACAGGGCCTAAGAGTGCTGTATTGCTCCAGTTTGCCATCTCAGCTGATTCTGATTACAAAAGAAACACTTAGGGCCTGTGTTTACTTTCATTTTTTATATATTTCCCTTCCGGGGCTCGGCAGTAACTCCCCATGTGATCATGACACCTCCCTCTGTTGTGCCAAGGTGTAAAATGCATTCAGAAGTCCGGCATTGCAGTAATATTACTACCAAGCGTGGTGGCACAAATGCCACAAAATTCCCGCATCACCATGTATTACACTGATTTGCCAGCATGGTGTGTCCTATAAAATGGCTAATCATTCATTCACCCATGCACACACACACACACACACACACACACACACACACACACACACATGCTGGTGATGGTGAGCTACAATGTAGCCACAGCTGCTTTGGGGCACACTCACGAAAGCGAGGCTTGCCAACAGGCAAGGCATTTGAAGTGTCTTGGCCAAGGAGGACACAACTGCAACAGAAGAGACTCAACCTACAACCCTCTGGTTGCAAGGTGGCCACCTAACTCTTCTGCCATGTCATGTGTTATTTCAGCATAGATGAATAAACTGGATATTCACAAGAGCAAAGAAAAATCAGAAGAAGACAGATAATTTGAGCAAACTGATAAAAGTCGGTCAAAGACGATTTTAGCCAAACAACAAAAGATTTGCAAACTTTAGTTCTTGTTATTGAAAATATTTAATATCTTTTTCTCTGTGGCTATGTCTTAGTCAGAAAACAACAAAAGACAGACTTGGAAAAGTTCAGCTGTTCAAGTTCAAAACAAAGGCATAAGAAAGTATAAATTTTAAATAGCAGACGTTTCCTCTCTTTCCATCTCTCTTTTTACCTCTGTGCCTCTGGCATCTCTTTAGACTTCTTTAAGGCAAACTGTCTTGATGCGTCCTTGTTCTGCAAAAGAACAGAGAGAAGATGGTCGAGCAAGAGACAGAAGAGCAGAGTAGGAGGAGAGCAGAGAGAAAGAAGTGAACATAAAAGTGCATAGTTTAAAACGATTAGTGACACCTCTGATATTGTACCTGCTAACACAGCATGAGAAAGACACAGGCTCACTAACAGTGAGTGTCTTTGTGAGTTTGGTGTTCGATGCCAGTGTGTGTGTGTGTGTGTGTGTGTGTGTGTGTGTGTGTGTGTGTGTGTGTGTGTGTGTGTGTGTGTGTGTGTGTGTGTGTGTGTGTGTGTGTGTGTGTGTGTGTGTGTGTGTGTGTGTGTGTGTGTGTGTGTGTGTGTGTGTGTGTGTGTGTCAGGGAGAGAAATAGGCAGAATCTTCTGTCTTTTTGTGAATTAAAGAACACAACTCGATCTTTCCTAAAAAGAAAAATCTCAGAATTAAATCTAGAGAAATGATGGGAAGATCAAACAATTCTATTGCTGAGAAAACATTGTTACACTAGATTTAAAGGGAATAATCCTTCAAAACACCCCTAAAGTTTTGCATCCCCAAGTCAATTTTAGACTCAGATACTAACACAATTTACAGTTTTATGTTTTACACTAAAAATAAAGAAAATTTTAGCTTTTCATTCCTACAAACAGGATTAAACCACAGCAAAATTGTGTTTTTTTCTAACTGGCATACATGCAAAGAGTGGTAAATATGACAGATACTTAACAATGATAACTTTGGTTTTGGACCAGGCTGCACAGTGGCGCAGTGGTTAGAGCTGTTGCCTTGCAGCAAGAAGGTCCTGGGTTCGATTCCCAGCCTTGGATCTTTCTGCATGGAGTTTGCATGTTCTCCCTGTGCATGCGTGGGTTCTCTCCGGATGCTCCGGCTTCCTCCCACAGTCCAAAAACATGACTGTTTAGGTTAATTGGTCTGTCTAAATTGTCTTTAGGTGTGAGTGTGTGTGAGATTGTTTGTCCTGTATGTCTCTGTGTTGCCCTGCGATGGACTGGCATTCGGTCCAGGGTGTACCCCGCCTGATTGCCCATTGACTGCTGGAGATAGGCACCAGCCCCCCCGCGACCCTACATGGACAAGCGGGTTCAGACAGTGGATGGATGGATGGAACTTTGGTTTGGGCTTCAGCAGTTGTTATTGTAAAACCTTAAGTGTTTTCACTATATTCCGAGTGTGTGTGTGTGTGTGAACTGTGTGTTTGTCATCTGTCCTCAGGGGTAAGATGTCTTCAGCAATCAGCTTTAAAGCCGCAGAAAAGAGCAATGTTTGATTGAAGAGTCACTTTATACATCAGAGGGCTCTTTTTACACTGTCCTTGTGTTTGTTGTCCTCATCTTGTCATTTCTTATTTATTTTCTTCTTTTTCTGTTCAGTTCTGGAATTAAAACATACTGTTTTCACTTATTTGTACCTTACTAACATCACTAAAGTTGCATGTTTCTCTTGCTCACTGCTCCACTAAGCTAACAGTGCAAATTATTTGCTGGCACAAATTCACCCATGACATGTTGGATGTTGGAACACTTAGCACTTGTTTGGCGTCTGACTGTTCTGCCCTAACTGGACCCAGCAGAGACGTAAATGACTTGGAGAAAAGACAGGAAATATTCTTTCTAGTGAGCTGCAGGTCTTATTGGTTAAAAACAGAGACACTCCTCCTCAGGAGAAACCAGTCAGGAGTAAATTTCTGAATCAACTTAGACTTTGTGTTTCCCATACCTGCATTTTATTTTCATCTTATCACAACATAGAGCATAAAAATATAACTGGGCATTACAAGCCCTCAAAATTCAATCCAATTGAAAAGCATGACGCCCCTGTTTAGCTGGCCTAGATGTCCCTCTGTGAGAGTTTTGTGTTCTAGACAAATAAATTACACTTTAAATTGTGCTCAGTTGGGCCTGAGTGGTTGATCTGGACTATCAGGCACAGCTGTAAGATGTGACATACTCTGGATTTATTCTGAAGGCTTCTTAAAGGCTTTTTGTTGTTTTTGGATTGGGAAGAAACAAGATGTGACTCTATTAACCTCATCTGTGTTGAAATGTTCGTGTTCTGCTGTTTTTGTGTTCTCAGATATTTCTCCTTTTTCTTAATTATTTTCTTAATTATTTGTCCTGTAGACTAAGCCAAGACATAACGTTCTGTAAGATCACACTTTCTAAATCATAATAAAATAATGTTAAGATACCCTTTTTAATTGTTCTTTTGGTATTGTATTATTTTTTATAATATTTTATTTTTGCTTGTTATTAATAGTTTTTTATTGTTTTATTTACAGCCCCAGATGGGTTGTCACCTCCAACTTTAGCTCAAGCAACAAACACAAGTCTGAATGTTACCTGGTCTGCTCCCATCCGCTCCAATGCACCAGGCCCACTTCGGTACAGCCTGCAAATGAGAACATCCCCTCAGAGGCCTGTCATAAGGTAAGAACAAGCATTAAATACACAGATGCAGTGGTTAAACTAGTGGACAAGTATGCCAACAGTTCTCTTGAGTGTTTTCTGATGTATAAGCTCTCCCTTTTTAAAACAGGTTAAGTCACGACCCAAAACAATTCTTGAAGCAAAATGTGAAACCTTTTGAACAAAGGCCTGTGATAATTAAAGGCTTTAAAACATGATAGACACAGATACCAGCTTCTCAAATACATGTAAATATGTCTGCTTTTAGATGTGAATACACACATATACATACAAATGTATGTATATTACGCAGTACAGGCGAATATGTCATATCGCCATGACAGACCGTCAGAAAAACAAAGGCGGAATAAAGCGGAGAGACAGGAGGAGAGTCAAAAACCAAAAAAAAAATCAAAGACAGGGAAGGCAGGAGAGCTAGGTAGAGAAATTGTGATAGAACAAAAAGAGAGAGAAGGTGTGCATCTGATATGTATTCATTACATGCTTCCTGACAACAAATTGCAATTTAATCCAAGAAGAGGAGGCTCTCATTCTGTGGTAATAAATAAATGACTAGCTACATGTATTATATATCAGACAGTCATGCCCTCCTCCTCCTCTGCTATGGAAATCTCATTGTTACCTGATTTATTCATTCATTCATCCCCTCTATCCATCTGATGCTAAATGGTCAATGCTGTCTCATTTATGACAATATTCCTTTACTTTGTCCTAGATTCTTTTGTGAGATTATTTGGCACGGGGTCAGCTATGTGATGTGAGAACAAACTGATAAGCTGCAAAACTCCTGTTTGGGGAATCCGGTTTCTTTTAATTTACTGTTAGATTTTGAGATTTGTTTTTATAGTGTACACCTTTTAATGTGCAAGATGAAAATATGTAAAAAACACTTAGTGTATCGAGAGAATGCAATTTATTGGGTTGGCTTTAGCTAAGGAGCTGTCCAGTGCTGAATCCCCACAAGATGACATGTGGCTATAGACAATGGATGGATGGATAAGGGCAGTAAAATCATAAACACACTGCAGCAGGGGGAAAACTACAAATATCGACAGGAGCAAAAACCTTTTTGTTTTTAGCAAAGACAATGTCCCATTTATTCACACAGAGGGAGAGAGGCTTTAAACTTCAGCTTCTGCATTACAGCCATTTTATTATTTCACAATCTTTGTTTAGTCTCCAGTTGCCCACAAGATATTTAGATCAAACCACAGCATTAGACCGATGCTTCTATCTGAATGTTTTTTCTTTCTCTTCCACTTCTAGTCTTTTGGAAAATACAACCAACACCTTTTCTTCCTATGTGGAGGGTTTGTCTCCATACAAGTCCTACCTCTTCAGAGTGGTGGTTTCACATGCTCATGGACAGACATCTAGCCCATGGGCAAACCTCCGCACTGCAGAAGGCAGTAAGTACTCAAACTCACGTGAAACATGAATGTTGCCATTACTAATCAATAAGTTATTTTACAAACAGATACAAAAATGTCTTCATGCTTTAAGTCGGTTGTACACTGTGTGATTTTCAACCCATTTGGAGCAGATTTTTCTATTGCAACAACATCTGAGGCCAGGCCAAGTTTTTGTTGTGCGCTGTGTATGATACAGGAGGGTACGATAAGCGATTAACTAGGGATGAGCGAGTACGCCACTATCTGTATCGGTGTCTGTTCAACCATCTAAATAATCTACATCTGCACTGTTTTTTATATGGATTGATTGGAAATTGATATGTATATATTCACTTAAGATTTTTAACACATGATTGTCTTTCTTAGGATTAAAAGGGAGAAAAAGAAAAACCATTTTATTAGTTAAAATGATTAATTAGTATGATTAAAATGTCCCAAATTGCTTTAATGTATAAAACAAATTCCAAAAGTATAAATAAAGTGGCTCCAAAAAGGTTCTGGCAAACCATTCGGCACTTCAGGGGAGAAAGGCAGCAACTCACTCACACTGTTTACACTGGAGATGGGGAGCTGTTGACATCAACTGGGGCTATAGTCGGGCGGTGGAAGGAATACTTTGAGGAGCTCTTCAATCCCACCGACATGCATTCTGAGGAGGAACCAGAGCCGGGAGACCTGGGGATGGACTGTCCAATCTCTGGAGCAGAAGTCGCTGAGGTAGTCAAACAACTACACAGCGGCAGAGCCCGTGAGGTGGACGAGATCCGATCTGGATATCTCAAGGCTTTGGTGTGTGATCATCGGAGGCAGTTCCTGTGGAGTGGCAGACCACGGTGGTGGTCCAATTTTTTTAAAAGGGGCACCAGAGGGTGTTTTCCAACTATAGGGGGATCACACTTCTCAGCCTCCTGGGAAAGATCTACTCCAGGGTACTGGAGAGGAGGGTCTGGTCGCTAGTTGAACCTCATATAGAGGAAGAGCAATGTAGTTTTCGTCCTGACCGTGGAATTGTGGACCGACTTTTTACCCTTGCAAGGGTGATGGAGGGGCCATGGGAGTTTCCCCAACCAATCCACGTGTTTTGTGGCTTTGAAGAAGGCTTGTGACCGTGTCCCCAGAGGCACCCTGTGGGGGTCACTCCACGAGGATGGTCTTTTGCCCCTGGCCCTGTACCAGAGGAGTGTGAGTTTGGTCTGCATAGCTGGCAGTAAGTCCGACCCTCACTATTCCCAGTGAGGGTTGGACTCCAGCAGGGTTGCCCTTTGTCACCGGTCCTGATCATAACGTTTATGGACAGGATTTCTAGGTGCAGCCGTGGTGTTGAGGGTGTGGAGTTTGGTGGCAAGAGAATCTCCTCTGCTTTATGCAGGTGATGTGGTCCTCCTAGCTTCATCAGGCTCTGACCTTCAGCTCATTCCGGGGAGGTTTGCTGCCGAGTGTGAAGCGGTGGGGATGAGAATCAGCATCTCCAAGTCTGAGACCATGGTTCTCAACGGGAAAAGGGCGGCTTGCCAACTCTGGGTCGGGAGAGAGGTCCTACCTCAAGTGGAGGAGTTCAAGTATCTCGGGGTTTTATTCACGAGTGAGGGAAGGAGGGAGCGGAAGATCGACAGGCAGATTGGGGCAGCGTCTGCAGTGATGCGGATACTGAACCGGTCTGTTGTGGTGAAGAAGGAGCTGAGACATAAATCAAAGCTCTGGATTTACCAGTCGATCTTCCGCCCAGTCCCCACCTATGGTCATGAACTTTGGGTAATGACCGAAAGAACAAGATTGCGGAAACTCGTGGTCAAAATGAGTTTTCTGCTCAGGGGGGGCTGGGCTCAGCCTTAGGGATAAGGTGAGGAGCTCGGACACTCGGGAGAGACTCGAAGTAGAGCCGCTAGTCCTCCATTTTGAGAGGAGTCAGTTGAGGTGGTTTGGGCATCTTGTTAGGATGCCTACTGGACGTCTCCCCAGGGAGGCATGTCCTGCCGGCAGGAGGCCCCCTGGCCGACCCAAAACGTGTTGGAGAAAGTACATCTCCGAACTGGCCCAGGAATGACTTGGGGTCCTGCCAGAAGAGCTGGTGGAGGTGGCCGGGTAGAGGACGGTCTGACTCCCTAGTTGGGATACTGCCCCTGGTACCTGGACCCGGATAGGTGGAAGAAGATGAGACGAGATGATAAATAAAGTGATATTAAGACAGATTTGGTGTGCTGATCCAAACAGTTCTGTTATAGGGCATAGTTCAGACCTCCTGCTCTCCTCATTCTCACAGACTGTCATGTTTGTGAATGACCAGCTTTTTCTTGAAAAGCTGCTGTTTTCCCCTCATAGATTCTCCACTTCTCCATTGTGTTTTCTCTTCATCTATTTCACAATAATAATGGCACACCGAGCAAAAGGGAGCGGGTGTCTCATGAATACCATCCCATGCCACTGAAGGAAATTCAGATGAGCCACAGAGCGGTGTGTGTTAACGGGACGGTAGTTCAAACTCCCGCTGATTTTATTTGCCATATACAGACCCAGAGACTGCAGGTTGATGCCTGTGTCGTCTCTAGTAGAAGTGTGAATCTGCAGCAGCAGTAGGCGTAAATCCACTGTCTCCAGCTCTGCAGCTGTACCTCTCTCGTAGGCCCAGCCGAGAAAGGTTTATAGTCAATCCTCCTGCACATGCGCAGATTATCATTCTCTTTTCTTACTCCCAGAAGAATAGTTTGGAGCGCAAATGGTTTATTTGTTGCTAATCTGCAGGGCATATCTACAAGAAAGCTCTACAGAAAGTAGTGAGTCCTCAGAAATGTCGCTAGGTGTGTCGCCAGGCGCGTTTCGGAAAAAAGTCATTGAGGGGGGTCGAAAAGTTGTTAGGAACAGCAACAAAGTCGCTGAGTTGGCAACACTAAGCAGCATGGCTCTGACTGGAGATGGTTTTGTGTCGGGAGGGGTGGGCGCTCTGTGTGACTGGCCAGTCACAGAGCGTGAAGACAGTCAGTAACCCATTGAGGATTTTCCTTAAGCAAGAACACAGATATTGACGAGTTTTGTTCATTTTATGCTTGTGCTCATCAAAAATGCTTTATCCGTACCGTGTTAATCGTAAGATGGAGCCGGATACTTGTTTCAGACGAGTATCCAGCTCAAACCTACGATCAACACCTCACAATTTGCTACCGAATGACAATCATGCTGTCTTATGAACATCAATATGTTGGAAATTTTGCTAGCACAGTGCATGCACCAACATGTCTGCCCCACCATTACACTCATCTTGTTGTATTTTTACACTTCTCTCCACACACAATGGCAAGTTTTGCTTAAATAAAACGTGTTTCTGTGTTTATTTGACATCAAAACAAACCTGCAAGCAATACTTTCTACATGCCATTCATTCTTTTACATCCAACCCCCATAAACCCCTGTGTGTCCTTCTGACACTATGAATAGCCTTGTAGAACAACAGACATCAACAATAGTACAAAAGTCTCCTCACTTCTGGGTTTCTGGATTTGAAGGTCCGATGTGTTAAGACTGCTATTCTAGGCCTAATCTTTGGTCCGACGTGTTGCTACTGCACGTGCAGTGTGAGCAGCCAGGTTGTATCTGAGCATTGGGTCGTTCAGTGTGATAGCCTAACTTGTGCACTGTGCCCTACAATGAAGCTGAAAAAGTCGCACAGTGTGCATCTGGCATTAGGTGTACAACAGAAAGCATTGTAGCACAGATATGAAAGTGATTTCTTTTGTGATGCTGCAATGATTTAGTGACATTTTTGGGGGGTAATTTGGCAGCAGATAACCCTTTTATAGCTAAACTGCTTTTGTTGACAGCTTCCATTTTTATGTGATGAATATCCAAAAAAAAGGCTAGCACTGGGTTAATGCATTGTATTCTCATGTTATTAATACTGCATGTTGAAACTTTTATCACACAAAAAGTTTTATTAGTGTTGTCCTGGGTGGTACAATAAAGCTGAACACTTTCCTATGTTTTCATGTGATGAGCCAAATTATTAACAAAAACTGAAGCACAGCATTTGGTTGATGACATGCGTGAAGATGCAAAGATGGCTACAGGGACCCAGGCTTGACTGCTTTAAGCTTACTGACAGGGTTAGATCTGCATACTGTAATATGTGTGTGTGTGTGTGTGTGTGTGTGTGTGTGTGTGTGTGTGTGTGTGTGTGTGTGTGTGTGTGTGTGACCTAGCCAGTGTCATTGTGGGCTAATTACTGTAATAGAATCATATTAGCACTGGAACAGCCTCCTCAGTGCAAAGTTATAAATTAATTAGTACCACACTATTATCACATATATTATCATTAAGCTGCTGAGTTTTGCATACATTGATACATACACACACACAGAAATGTATACTGAGCACACACACACACACACACACACACACACACACACACACACACACACACACACCACACACACACACACACACACACACACACACACCACACACACACACACACACACACACACACACACACACACACACACACACACACACACACACACGTGCATGCTTCCATGACTGAAAGCTCACTTATTTACATTGTGATGCATGCTCACGCCTATCCAAGTGCACAAAGTTGCAGACATTTAGGATGCATTGGATTACAACCCTGTGCATTTCTCATTGTTATGCAGAATTGATTTCCCTCTAGCACACAAATACACACACACACACACACACACACACACACACACACACACCATGTGCTCACTCAAACTCTCACACACATTGTGCTTTTGTTATATATTTTCCAACTCAGCATTTGTAAAACAGATATTCTGTGTGTTTTTGCAAGATTGTGTGAAACTGTGTTTGATTTATTTTCTGTGTAACTTTTGAAGATGGTCATGGGTACTTTCCCTTAAATTTCTCATCTCCTCCATGTCAAATGTAAGGAAACTTTGAAAAACACATATTCATGTTATTTTTCACACTGATTTTGATCATCTGATTTGTTTGAATGTGAAAATATACGTTTAAAGTGACTG